TGGAGATACCTGCAATACTGGACACTGTTGTTTTTGGTGGCCATGGGAAAAGGCCTGGACAATTCTGAAGAGGTGTTGCTCAAAGATGCAGTGGAGCTGGACGTCATTGCTGAGGACTCTGAATTCGACTTCAAGAACTGTGGAGATGGCAACATCAGCAGAATCCCCAAAACTTCAGGTTCACAGCACTCTCTATGGGGCTTCTGGAAACTATACCCAGACTTTGAGTTATCTTGGCTCTTTGGATTAGCCAAGGATGCAATCAGAGACAACATTGTCCCCTCAGTCTACCACCAAATAGGAAACCTTACTTTTGCACAGGGCCTGCTTCTAAGCTCCTTTATCCCTCAAAATACTGCCTCTACTCTGGTTGCCTTGCCTGCCTCTGCCTGCTTCTTCCTCTATGTTGTACAAATGCACACCTGCCTCACTGACATACAGAGCACGATCATTTTACTGCCCATGATGCTGTTCTAACTTCCCACTCTGCCCTGTTCAGAGCTCATAGACATATCTTTTCCTTTTGGAACTCATCACCACCCAGAAGTCAGCATCACTCACTGCAGTGGTGAAATGGAGTTGAGACAGGAACATGGGCTCTACAGCAGGAAACAGCAGGTCTAGGCAGCAGATACCAGAAGGAAGTTCAACCACCAAGCCCAGGCATGCAAAGACATTTCATCCATTAGCAGGAAGCTCTCTGCCCTCAGGTCTGGAGGGAATGTTAACACATTCCCTTTCTCAGCCCTTTCTCTGTGGCACAAGTTAAGGCTGGCAAGGCTCTACTGACAGAACTGGTAATGGGATGGACTTCAGCTCTAGAGTTGGGGACAGAGCTAAATTCAGCAGTGGAGCAAGAGCTGCCTGGAACTCCAAAGCTGACACTAAAGCCAGCTCTAGAACTGCCTCTTGCTTCCAAACACATACTGGGTTGAACACAAGCTCTGGATCTGATGCTGGTGCTGCCACTTGACTGGGCACCAGAGCACCTCCTGGAGAAGGCTGTAGCTCTGCAGGTGCTTTAAGAGCTTGTTCTGGAACTGAGGCTGCAGCTAGAGGAGAAATGATTCCAACATGACTGCCTTGCCCTGAGCTTTGCTAGAACAGTCAATACTCTATCTGCCCAGAAGTTTTTAGCCCCAAAGCCCACACAGGATCTCTTCTCAGACCGACAACATTGCCTGAGTGGTAAAAGGCTTATCATTATTCCCAGTGCAACATTAGACTTATAGACTCCATCCAGTGGGACCAAAACATGACCTTTTTCATTTACACTTGTGTACCCTCCTTACCCTTGTATACCCACCCCAGTCCTCCTCTTCCTGCTGCACTTCGCATCCTCAAGCTGGGCCTGCAGGTAGTGGGCACAGTGCTCCAGGTTCAAGCCACTCATGTGTAGCTGCACAAAAGGCAACAGCAGCTGGAGACTTATGGAAATCCTCTAGGTCCATCTGGGTGCCCAGGCTGAAAGGCATGGCACTGTGGGCAGGCAGAAGCCTGGCCTCTGTTTCCCATAGCTCCTGTTTAATTTCCTGTCTCCACAATACAGTCCACCCCAGCCAAGTCCCACTGGCTGTACAGGCTGTGACAGGGCAGGTCTCTAGACAAAGAACCAGCATCAGTCCCAGATCCATGGTGTGTCCAGCTCTCCCTTCCTGCAGGGAAGCCTTACACTCTTCTTTCTGTTTGATACATGTTCTCCAATCTCGAATGCAACCTATGGGAGAATAGTCCTCCTGTTCATCCAGGAGGTCCAAGAAGAAGGATATAAATTTAACACCCATAAACCAATTGAATTCTTACACACCAATGATTAATTGGCTGACAGAAAAAGTAGGAAATCTATGCCATTCACAACAGCCTCAAAAAAATGAAATACTTGGGAGTCTAACAAATAAGGTGAAAGACCTCTATAATTAAAACTACAGAAAACTAAAGAAAGAAATTAAAGAGGACCTTAGAAGATGAAAAGATCTCCCATGTTCTTGGATAGGCATAATCAATATTGTCAAAATGGCCAAACTACCAAAAGTGTTATACAGATTTAATGCAATTCCTACAAAGATTCCAATTATGTTCTTCATAGAAATAGAAAAGGTAGCCATTACTTTCATTTTGGAAAAAAGGAGTCCCAGAATAGCTAAAGCAATCCTTTGTGAGAAAAGTGAAGCAGGAGGCATCACAATACCAGATCTTAAATTATACCACAGAGCTATCGTAACAAAAATGACATGGTATTGGCACAAAAAAAAACACACATTAAGACCAATGGAACAAAATTAAACACACAGACAAACACACATAAATACAGTTATCTCATACTAGACAAAGGCACCATAAGCAAACACTGGAGAACAGATAGCCTCTTCAACAAGTGATGCTGGGAAAACTGGAAATCCATATGCAGCAGAATGAAGGTGAGAGCCCTGAACAAAACTCAACTTAAAGTGGATCAAGGACTTAGGTATTAGACCAGACACTGTGCCTACTAGAAGAAAACATAGGCCCAATGCTCCTAGGAGCCTAGGAACCAACTTCCTCAGCAGGACTCCTAAAGCACAAGAAGTAAAATCAAGAATCAATAAGTTGGATGGTATCAAACTAAAAAGCTTCTGCACACCAAAGGAAACAATCAAGAACATGGAGCCACCTGCACCTCAGACAGAGCACTAATCTCCAGGATATATAAAGAACTCAAAAATCTTAACACACACACAAAAATAAAAATAAATGGGCAAAGGAACTGAGCAGACACTCTGCAGAAGAAGAAATAAATATTCAACACTCTAGCAATTAGAGAAATAACAATGAAAATGATACTGAGATTCCATCTCACTCCAGTCAGAATATCCACTATCAAGAATACAAGTAACAATAAATATTGGAAAGGATATGGGGAAAAAGGTTTACTGATCCATTGCTGGTGGACCACAAATTGGTGCAATCACTATGGAAAGTAGTATGGAGATTCTCCAGAAAACTTGGAATTGAATCACCATTTGACCCAATTATCTCACTCCTTAGTGTATATCCAAAGGACTTAAACATATTACAGCCACATCAGTGTTTATAACAGCTCAATTCACAGTAGCTAAGTTATGGAACCAACCTAGGTACCCTTCAACAGATGAATGGATAAAGAAAGTGTGGTATATATAAACAATGGAATACTAATCAGCCATACAGAAGAATAAAATTATGGCCTTTGCCAAAAAATGGATGAAACTGGAGACTATCATGCTGAGCAAAATAAGCCAATCCCAAAAACCAAAGACAGAATGCTCTTTGTGATATTTGGATGCTAACACACAATAAGGTGGGGTGGGGGAGATGTAAGAAAAGAAGTTCATTGGATTAAACAGAGGGGAATGAAGAGAAGGAAGGGTGAATGGGTATACGAAAGATAGTAGAAGGAATTAGACATAATTTTCCTATGTTCAAATGTGAATACATGACCAGTGTACCTCCACATCATGTTCAACCATAAGAATTGGATCCAACTTAGAATAAGTTATATTCCATGTACGTGTAACATGTCAAAATACATTCTACTATCATGTATATCTAAAAAGAACAAATATTTTTTTAAAAATAAACTCAAATAGGCTGTTGATTGCCTCCTTCATCTCCTAGTCTGTACATCCTACTCAGGCAATGGTTAATTAAATGCAACTCTCCCCAGGAAGAGATCATCTCCTCCCAGTTGCATCATGGGTAATGACAAGGATGAACAGTTTGGCAGTTTCTTCAACAGTCAAACATATACCCACCGTAGAATCCAGCAAATCTTACCCTTAGCTATTTATCCTACAGAATTCAGAACTTATCTTCACACAAAAACTTGTACATGAATGCTTAGCCGGATCTCTTCATAATCATCCCAAACTAGAAACAAACCCAAAAGTCTTACTATTGTTGAATGAACCAATTGTGATAATCCATACAATAAATACTAACTACTCAGCAATAAGAAAAAAAAATTACTGGTAAAGGCAACAGTTTGGATGGATCTTAAAGGCATTATGTCAAGGAAAAAATCCAGTCTCAAATTGATATTTGGATACTAATACACAATAAGGCAGGGTGAGGGAGGTGTAAGAGAAGAAGTCTGTGTCCATTTATATGAGGTTCCCAAGAGTTCCAAACTATAGTGATGAAGAAGAGATCATGCATGCTAAGATTAGGCATGGGACAGGTGTGTGGCTATAGCAGAGTAGTAATGGAGGAATTTGAGGGCTAACAGAACTTTTTCTGTAACCATATTGTGGTGCTGGTTTCATGAGTCTCAATGTATATTGAAACCCAAAGAACTATAAGCCAAAAGGAATGTCCATTTTACTGTAGGACAATTGAAAAAAAAAGGGAGGACTAAACTTTTGATATTAATTATATAAAAGACCAAGAAAGACTGAAAAAATGTTCCAAATAAAGAAACCTGAAGAGACATGACATAAAAACAATACCCAGATACCACACTGGAAGAGAAAAATGACAGAACATCCTTTTTATTAATAGAAAAAACACATCTCTGATGTTTCAGTTCTAACATTTCTCAAAACCTGGAAAGAAATCACTAGTGCCCTTCAGTTCTGGTCCTTTGGTATTTTTCTACATGAATTACTTAATAGATTCAATTAAGTGTCCACGGGTTTCTTGCTAAATGAAGGGCAACTTACAGGTAGAGATAAGATAGGAGAAATTTCACTTTCCATCTTAGGCTTTGAATACAGTCTGCCAAAACATTTATCCACTCTTCTTTTATAGTACTTTCTGTTATAAAAATATTAAAAAATTTTGGTGGCTTTTAGGAGTTAATTTTCTAAATAATTGAGATTTTTTTCCTAGTTCTATAGGGAAGGTGTACAATGTGCAGCTTTATAAGCATCTTCTTAGTCTCACTGTTAAGAGATCATTTTTTTTCAAAGTGTAAAACTGTTCTTTCCCAGTTATTTACACTATTACATGAAACAGCAAATCCCAATGCTAACTGACTCACTTACCAAAATGAATTAGACTCACTGATCGTCAGTGGACCTGGACTCCTCCGTGGTGGTCTTGGTCCTTCCTTTTGCCTCTTAGCAATTTGTTCTCAGCCTGCCTTCTACTGTAGTGGCAAATTCTGACAGCAGCAATCCGAGCTTCTGTGTTTGTTTAATCACATCAAATGAAAGAAATGTTATCTTTAACTAAACAGAAGTCCCCAACCTCACTGACTGTACACCTTATGGCATCTGTTACCTTTGAACCAACTGCAGCCAAACACTAGGGGGTGCTACTGTAGAAGAGGAAGAGTGGATGAGAGAGGGCACCCTAATGTCTCCAGTAGTCATTCTCTTAAGTTGACATTTTCTTTACCTAATAGAATCGGCTACTATCTATTTGATCCATACCATGTGCTGCTCTTTGCATCCTTTGGCCACTTCAAACTACAGGGAACTCAGTTATCTTTGCAGGTTACCTTAGTTATGGGATTGTATGGGGAACACTAATGGAAGGTCAGGGTGACAGCAAACTCCTCAGCACTTCAGCAGGAAGGCTGCTTGGGGAACTGGGGGGCCCATCAGGGCACAGCAGCAGCTCCGGGGACTCCAAGGCCAACCCCATGGGGAGCCTGGGAAGCGAGGGTCCTTGGCTTTCTTTTGGTGTCGTTTCTCTTAGGTGCTTAGTCCCAACACCCTGGGAGAGTCTGTTTTCTACCACATCCCTGTCTGCACGGGGGCCACCACTGGGCAGTGCTACCCAGGAGCCGTGCCTGCTTGAAGGAAGAGCCCACTTCCCGACCTGAGGCTGGGGGTGAGCTCACAACGTAAGGCCAAGAAAGTCCTTGCCGCAGCTGGCTGTCCAGGAGGCCCTCGGAGGCGGTCCCCTCACAGCAAGGGGACCTGGCAGGCCCTTCCCAGGGCCCCTGTCCGCCTGTACAGTAGTCTCATCACCCTGATGGGCTGCTTCATATGGGAAACCGGGCATGGCGGGGGTGGGGGGCGTCCACAGGTCCCACGGCCATGATGTGGCAGCCGCAGGCCTCCCACCTACGGAGACTGTGTCCAGGTGAGGAAGTCAGAACCTGTCCCACGCGAGGTCACCCACTGGGCTGACAGCCCGGCTGGAGGGGCGAGCCCAGGGAACGGCCCCCAGCAGGCAGAGGCGGAAGCGGAAGCGCGACGAGTAGCGGCGGCGGAGGCGTGTGGGGCGGGGCCTATCCGATGGCGCGAACTTTGACCCACAGTGGCGCCTGGGTCCCAGGTGGACGAGCCCGGAAGTTGTGCCCTGGAGGTGGGCTGCGGGTCCGACTTGAAGGTCGTCGCAGAAAGTGACCTGACCAGGAGCGGCGCCAACCCTGTAGCGCCACGACTGGGATCGAGGGTGGGACCCGGCAGCACTCTGCTGCGGGTCCCCGTCCCGAGCCCTGGGCGGCCGCCTTCCCAGACTCCGTCCGGGGGCTACCTACTCCCTGAGAGCCCGCTTTGTGCGAGTCCCCACAGCGGCCACCCGCCCCTTTCCTCACAATTCCAGCATAATACTCGCTACCCCGAGTTACTGCAGACCCACAGGTTAAGGGCTTGCTCCCAAAGCCAGGACCCACTTGAAATGTCATGTACAAGTTCCAGGCCCTCAATGCTTCCTGGTACCAACTGTAACTCTAGAGTTATACTTCCCTCTTTATGTTTAAAAATGTGCTAGAAAGACTCACAGAACTCAGAAAAGCACTTCACTTACTAGTACCAAATTATTACAAATTCTACAATGAAGAATGATCCAAATATTCTCTCCTAGTGTACCGCTTCCCAGAACTTGCACACGGTCACCAGCTCAGAAGCTCTCAGAACCCAGTGTTCAAGATTCCATGGGAGATCCACTATGTATGTGTGGTTGGTTGAATCATTGGCCCCTGGTGATTAACTCAATCTTGAGTCCCTCACCCCTTCTCAGAGGTTCTTCATTGGGGATGAAAGTTCCAGTCATCTAATCTAATGGTTTGTCTTTCTGATTACCAGTCACACACTAAAGTATTTGGGGTCCCATCAAGACTTACCTTATTAGCACAAAACGTGCCCCTGATTCCTCTGTCACTCAGGAAGTTGCAAGTCCATCAGGAGCTCTCTGCCAGAAATTGGGGACAAAGTCCAGATACTTATTTTTTTCTTCATATATTTTATTGTTGCATTAGAGTTGTGCATTAGTGTTGGGCATAATGGTGGGATTTGCTGTTAGATATTTGTACATGCAAAATTCTCACAATATAATTTGGCCAATATCTCTCCCCAGCACTTCCCTCTCCCTTCTTTATCCCTCTCCTTGGTCCTTCATCTACTCTCTTTGATTTTCATGCGATTCCCCCACCTTTATTTTTTGTTTTCACCCCTGTGTTATTGGTTCTTTTTAGTTACACATGACAGAATCCATTTTTATATAAATGTACAAGCATGGAATATACCTTATTCTAATTCAGAACTCAGTACTTCTCCTCCCCCCCATCTCATGCTCCCTTCCATCTGTTGATCTTTATGCTGTTTACCCATACTGACTTTTTAAAATTAACTTCTTGTGAACGTGCATAATGGTAAGATTCACTGTGGTGTATTCACATTTGTACACAGAAAGAAAGTTGTGTGAGATTCATTCACTGTCTCCACTTCCTATCTCTATCCCTTCCCTTAATTCCATTTTGTTTAATCCACAGAACTTCTACTCCACCACCCCCCTTATTGGGTGTAGTTTGCACATATCAGAGAAAATGTTTGACCTTTGGTTTTGGTGGGGGGGAAGGGGGATTGGCTTGTTTCACTTAGCATGATAGTCTCAAGATTCATCCATTTATGGAAAATATAATAAAGTCGTTAATACACCAAACTGTATATATTCCACATTTACTTTTTAAATTTGTATTTTAGTTATACATGACAGTAGAATCTACTTTGATATATTTATATGAATGTGGAGTATACTATTCTAATTAGGATATTACATGAATGTACACAATATTGAGATTCAGAGTGGTGTATTCATTTATATACATAAGAAAGTTATATCAGATTTATTCCACTGTCTTTCCTATTCCTATTCCCCCTCCCTTCCTGTCATCCCCTTTGTCTAATCTACTGAAATTCTACTTTCCCCTAACCCCACCTTGTTCTATGTTAGCATCCACATAACGGCAAAACCATCCCACCTTTGGTTTTTAGGGAAAGGCTTATTTTGCTTAACATGATACTCTTAAGATCCACCCATTTACCAGCAAATGTCATAAAGTCATTCTTCTTTATTTCTAACTAATATTCCATTGTGTATATAAACCACATTTTCTTTATACATTCATCTGTTGATGGGCATTTAGTTTGGTTCTGTATCTTAGCTCTTGTGAATTATGCTGCTATAAATATTGATATATCTGCATCACTGCAGTATGATGATTTTAACTCCTTAGGATATATACTGAGGAGTGGAATAACAGAGTCAAGTGGTGGTCCATTCATAGATTTATGAGGTCTCTCCCTACCACTTTCTAAGGAGTTGTACCCTTGCAGTCCCACCAACAATGTATGACTGTACCCTTTCCCCCCACATTCTCACCAATATTTGTTGTTCCTTGTGTTCTTTATAATTGCTGGAGTGAGGTGAAATCTAGGTAAAATTTTAATTTGCATTTCTCTAATTGCTAGAGATATTGAAATTTTTTCATATATTTGTAACTGTTCATGTTTCTTCTTTTTTAATATTTATTTTTAAGTTTTACATGGACACAATATCTTATTTTACATTTATGTGATGCTGAGGATCAAACCCATGCTAGGCGAACACTCTACCACTGAGCCAAAATCCCAGCCCTCATGTTTCTTCTTTTAGGAACTGTTTAATTTCTTTTTTCATTTATTGATTGAGTTATTTATTGTTTTTTATCTTAAGTTTTTTGAGTTCTTTACATAGTCTGAAAATTAACATCTGAGGAGCAAGTGGTAAAGATTTTTCTCCCATTCTGTAAACTCTCTCTCTCTCTCTCTCTCTCTCTCTCTCTCTCTCTCTCTCTCTCTCTCTCTCTCTCTCTCTCTTCATGCTCTTATTTCCTTTACTGTGGAGAAGAAGTCTTGATAAGAAAGTCAGTTCTTGAGCTGATATGTTGGAGTGTTGGGCCTACATTTTCTTCTAATAAATTCACAGTTTCTGGTCTAATTCACAGGTCTTTGATCCACTTTGAGTTGTTTTGTACAGGGTGAGAGGGTTAAATTTCATTCTAAGTTCAACTGAGATGAACTTCTATTTGAAATTGATCTTCTCTGTCACATAGATGAAATGCAGTCATTTCCTAAACTCAAAGCAAAACATGCTCTTATCATTCTTCCATATCTCTGATTTTCTCTCATAATCATTCAACAAGCTAGGGACAAAAACAACCTGAAATCTGGTTTAAAGCCAAAACAGTCTTTCACTGTTTACTCTATCTTGATATTTAAGATAAGCATGACATAGTTCTACTACATACGGACTTCTAGTTTTTACAGAACCATTTGCTGAATAAGCTATCTTTTCTTCAATGTCTGTTTGGGACATCATTATCTAGTATGAGATTACTGTATTTATGTGGGTTTGTCTCTGTGCTTTCTATTCTATTGCATTTGTCTTCTTGCCTGTTTTGGTGCCAATACCATGCTCTTTTTGTTACTTTAGCTCTGTAGTATAATTTAATGTCTGGCATTATGATGCCTTCCTCTTTTATTTCTTTGCTAAGGACTGCTTTGGCTATTCTGGGCCTCTTATCTTTCCAAATGAATTTGTGACTGTTTTTTTCCACTTCTATAAATAATGTCATTGGAATTCTGATTGGAATTGCATTGAATCTGTATAGTACTTTTGGTTGTATGGCCATTTTGACAATATTAATTCTGCCTATATAAGAATATGGGAGGTCTTTCCATCTTCTATGTTCTTCTTCAATGTCATTATTTAGTGTTCTGTAGTTTTCATTGTTAGTTGTTCTTCACCTCATTTGTTAGATTGGTTCCCAAGTATTTCACTTTTGGAGACTACTGTAAATGAGATAGTATTCCTAATTTCTCTCAATTGATTCATCACTGGGAGTATAGGAACACAATTTATTTATGAGTGTTAATTTTGTATACTCTCACTTTGCTAAATTTGATCATGAGTTCTAGAAGGTTTCTGGGTCTTCTAAATAGAGGATCATGTCATTGGCAAACAGAGGTAGTTTAAGTTCTTCTTTTTTTTTCTATTTGTATCCCTTAATTTCTTTATTTTTCAGAATTTCTCTGGAGGATGTCAAGGACTGTGTTGGGTAGAAGTGGTGAAAGTCAGTATTCTTATCTTGTTCCTGTTGGCCTTGGGTTTGTCATATATAGCTTTTACAATGTTGAGGTATGTTCCTTCCATTCCTAGTTTTTATAGTGTTTTAAACATGAATAAATGCTGTATTTTGTCAAATGCTTTTTGGCATCTATTGAGACATCATGTGATTCTTGTCTTTAAGTCTATTTATATGATGAATTATATTTTCAATTTCCATATATTGAACTGGCCTCGCATCCCTTAGATAAAACCCACTTGATCATGAGGCACTATCTTTTGTAAATGTGTTTACATGATTTGCCAGTATTGTATTATGAATTTTTATATCTATGTTCATCAGGGACATTGGTCTAAAGTTTTATTTCCCTGATGTGTCTTTGTGTGGTTTTGATATCAGGGAGAACTGGCTTCATAGAATGATGTTGGAAGACTTTCCTCTACTTCTTTTTCACAGAATAATTTGAGGAGAATTGGTATTAGTTTTCTTTAAAGGTCTAGGAGGACTTTCTTAAAATCCATCTGGTCATGGGCTTTTCTTTGCTTGTAGGCGCTTGGTGGCTTCTTCAATTTCATTACCTAAAATTTATCTGTCATATGTCTCTAGGAATTTGTTGATGTCTTCAAGATTTTCTAGCTCATTTAACTATAAATTTTCAAAGTATTTTCTGATAATCCTCTGTATTTATGTAGTGTCTGTGTTGATATTTCCTTTTCCATCACAGAGTTTAATTACAAGTTTTTCCCTCTTTCTTTTGGTTTGTTTGGCTAAGGATTTATCAATTTTTTTTTCTTTCCAAAACAACTTTTTTCTATTGATTTTTTTAATTCTTTTTAATCTCAATTTTGTTGACTTTTATTCTGCTTTTAATTATTTTCTTTTTCTACTACTTTTAGTATTAATTTGCTCTTCTTTTTCTAAGTCCTTAAAATGTAATATTAGATTATTTATTTGGTGATTTTTTATTCTTTTAATGAATGGGCTCAATGCTGAAAACTTTCCTCTGAGAAATGCCTTTATTGTATCCCAGAGATTTTGATATGTTGTATAACTATTCTCATTTACCTCTAAGTATTTTCTTATTTTTCACCCTTATTTCTTGCTCTCCATTCATCATTCAGAAGTGTGTTATTTAGTCTCCATATGTTAGAGTAGTTTCTATTTTTATCTTATCATTAATTTCTAATTTCATTTCATTTGGTCTGATAGAATCTATTTTTGTCTGCTAAGATTTGCTTTATGGCCTAAAATATCATCTATTTTAGAAAATGTTTCATATGCTGCTGAAAAAAAAATTATATTTAGTCTTTGAGGGATGAAATATTCTATATATGTCTGTTAAGTCTTAATTATTAATTGCATTGTTTGTACTGTACCTTCTTTATTTGTTTTTGTTTGGATGACCTATCCAGTGATGAGAGAAGCATGTTAAAGTCACCCAGTATTATTCTTGAAATTGAGAAGATCTTGTTTGATGTACATAGATGCTCCATTTTGGGGGGTGTGCTGCTGCTGCAACTACTGGCTTGGCTCCATAGTTTTCTTTTTTTTTTTTTCATTTAATGTATCCAGATTTCTAAATCTCTTGGATACTCTAACTGACAAATTTTGAGTTTCAGTGAAATTCCTAATTCATCCACCTTACAGAGAAGAGGTATTCCCACTGCTGAAATCCCAAGTCATAGAGCAATAAAAAATACAACTTTTCTCTCAATTCCCATCTTCTTCTCCCCTTATTTCTTATTTCATTACAATATAAAACCCAGAGAGCAATCCCAAACCTCTGAAAGACTCTAATGAAAAACAATTCACATTCTTAATAAATTGAGATTGTGTCTCTTGCTTTTGAAAAAAAAAAAACCTCTTAAATAAAATATTGAGGACAACGTACAGAAAGTGGCTTTTACTTGAGTTTTCTATAGGATTGAAATTTTCACAACTTTAATAATGAATATTATAGAAATAATGCCTATGTCAATTAACTAAGCCTAGAAAGTCATCTTATTCATTGAGAATGGATGTCTAAAATTCAGAAGACAGCACCAATGCAATAACAGGAGAAAAAATAGGAGTCTCAAAAGGTGTTCCTGAATCTCTAGGACATTGAGAACAGTGCTAAGAGAAAAGTTTATTGCATGGAGTTCATTCATTAAAAGAAAGAAAAGTCAGGTGCAGGAGGTCAAGCCCAGCAGCCCAGATACACTCACCTCAGCCTCTGTGGGGCTCAGGTGCACAGTGAGTTGGGTCCACCCCTTTTCAGATGGGGCAGACACTCACCAGAGCCTAGCCTCTGGTGCAGGGCTATGTCCTCTGACCAGCAGACTACCATGGGATGTCAACCCCAGTGGCCCAGATCTACCCACTTCAACTTACACAGGTCCCAGATCCAGAATGCAGTAGCACCCATTGAGGGTCACCAGCAGGGTCTGAAAGCCCAACATCAAGGTGAGGTAAAAACAATCTGAGAGAGTACTACAAGAATATAGGTAAGAAACTGTAAGATCTCAGATCCACACGGCAAGACAGACAGACACATAGATAACATGAAAACACAAGGGAGGAAAATGCCCCAAACAAACCAGAACACTGTAATAACAGAACCTATGGACAGCAAAGTTGATGAAATGTCAGAGAAGGAGTTCAGGAGTTTCATAAATAAAATGATCTGTGAATTTAAAAATGACCTAAACGAGCAAATACAGGTTGCAAAAGATTACTTCAAGAGAGAAATAGAGACCCTGAAAAAAAAAACAGTCAGAAATCCTTGAAATGAAGAATACAATAAATCAAATAAAAAAATTTAATAGAAAGCATTACCAACAGACTAGATCACTTGGAAGAAAGAATATCGGATAATGAAGACAAAGTTTACAATCTAGAAAATAAATTTGACTACACAGAGAAGAGAGTTAGAAACCATGAACAGAACATACAAGAATTATGGGACAGCATCAAAAGACCAAATCTAAGAGTTATTGGGATAGAGGAAGGCACAGAATTTTATACCTAAGGAATGCTCAATCTCCTCAATGAAATAATATCAGAAAATTTCGCAAGCATGAAGAATGAATTGGAAAACAAAATACAAGAGGCTTACAGGAAACCAAATGTACAAAATTACAACAGATCTACACCAAGGCACGTTATAATCAAAATGTGTAGAATACAGAATAAGGACAGAATCTTAAAACCTGCAAAATAGAGGAATCAGATCACATATAGAGGGAGACCAATTTGTATCTCAGCAGATTTTTCAACCCAGACCCTCAAAGCCAGGAGATCGTGGAACAATATACCAAGCTCTGAAAAAAAAAGGATGCCAACCAAGAATCTTATATCCAGCAAAACTAAGTTTTAGACTTGATGATGAAATAAAAACCTTCCATGATAAACCAAAGTTAAAAGAATTTACATCTAGAAAGCCTGCACTACAGAACATCCTCAGCAAAGTATTCTAAGAAGAGGAAATGAAAAACAATGATGAAAATCAGCAGAGGGAGGGATTACACCTAAGGAAAATCTAAGCAGAAGAGAAACCAAGTCACATTAAATACCAATAATAAACAAAAATGGCTGGGAATACAAATCATGTCTCAATAATAACCCTGAATGTTAATGGCCTAAACTCACCAATCAAAAGACATAGACTAGCAGACTGGATCAAAAAAAATACCCAACAATATGCTGCTTCCAAGAGACTCATCTCATAGAAAAAGACATTCACAGACTGAAGATGAAGGGTTGGGTAAAATCATACCTCTCACATTGTTTGCAGAAACAAGCAGGGGTTTCCATCCTCATATCAAAGAAAGTAGAATTCAAACTAAAAGCCAATGAAAAAGGATAAAGAAGGACACTACATACTTCTCAAGGGAACCATACACCAACAAGTCTTAACAATTATAAATATATATGCCCCAAACAATGGAACAGCTATGTTCATCAAACAAACTCTTCTCAAGTTCAAGAGTCAAAATAGACCACAACACAATAATTTTGGGTGACTTTAACATTCCTCTTTCATCACTAGATAGATCTTCCAAACAAAAGCTGAACAAAGAAACTATAGAACTCAATAATACAATCAATAACTTAGACTTAACTGACATCTATAGAATATTCCAGCCTTCAATGAGAGAATATACTTTCTTCTCAGCAACACATGGATTCTTCTCTAAAATAGACCATATACTATGCCACAAAGCAACTCTAAGCAATTATAAAAGTAGAGATTTTACCCTGCATTTTCTCAGACCATAATAGAATGAAATTAGAAATCAATGATAAAAGAAGAAATAAAATCCACTCCAATACATGGAGACTAAATAATATGCTACTGAATGAACAATGGGTTACAGAAGACATCAAGGAGGAGATAAAAAAGTCTTTAGAGGTGAATGAGAACACAGATACAACATATTGAAATTTCTGGGACACTATGAAAGCAATTCTAAGAGGAAAGTTCATTGCATGGAGTTCATTCCTTAAAAGAAGAAAAAGTCAAAAAATAAGTGACTTAACACTACATCTCAAAGACCTAGAAAAACAAAAACAAATCAACACCAAAAGCAGCAGAAGACAGAAAATAATTAAAATCAGAGCTGAAATCAATGAAATTGAAACAAAAGAAACAACTGAAAAAAATGACAGAACAAAAAGTTGGTTCTTTGAAAAAATAAATAAAACTGACAGACCCATAGCCATGCCAACGAAGAGAAGGAGAGAAAAAAATCAGTAAAATACATATAAAAAAGGAAATATCACAACAGACACTACAGAAATACAGAAGATAATTAGAAATTATGTTGAAAACCTTTACTCCACTAAAATAGAAAATATTAAAGGCATCGACAAATTTCTAGAGTCATAAAATTTGCCCAAATTGAATCAGGATAATATGCAAAATTTAAACAGATCAATTTCAAGTGATGAAATAGCAGATGCCATCAAAAGTTTACCAATCAAGAAAAGGCCAGGACTGGACAGATACTTTGGCGTGTTCTACAAGACCTTTAAAAAAGAACTAATACCAACTGCCACAGTCTGGCTGGGCACAAAATAACCAAGCCGCCAAGAGGCACTTGTAGGTTCAAACAGGAACTACTTTATTGCCCGAACCCTCACCTGCACTCCACCCGCGCTTCACCAGGGCTCCGGCTCCACGCGAACTCATGGGGACCCCCTGCGAGAACTCAACGGGAACTCCCAAGTAGCAGGCGCCTGAGGCAGCAGGAGCCTCCCTATTGCCAGAGCTGCCCTATTGCTGGACAGCAGGGGTCTATATACAACTCAATACACAGTCTGTTTCAATCCAGCATCATCCAGTCACAGCAATTATCTTAATGGCTGTCACCTCTCAACCACTCCTTCTGGCAATGCTGACTCGGCTGTGGCTCTCAACAACCAACACTCTCCAATTTGTTTTAGGATATACAAAAAGAGGCAGCACTTCCAAACTCATTCTATGAGGACAGTATCACTGTGATTCCAAAACCAGGCAAAGATACATCAAAAAAAGTAAAACTTTAGACCAATATGTCTAATGAATATAGATGCAAAAATTCTCAATAAAATTCTGGCAAATCAAATAAGAAAACATACCAAAAAGATCTTGCACCATGATCAAGTAGGTTTCATCCCAGGGATGCAAGGTTGGTTCAACATACAGAAATCAATAAATGTAACTCATCTCATAAATAGACTCAAAGATAAGAATCATATAATCATCTCAATAGATGCAAAAAAAAAAGCATTTGACAAAATACAGCAGCCCTTCATGTTCAAAACACTAGAAAAACTAGGGATAGCAGGAACATATCATCATCATAATGGCTATCTATGCTAAGCCCAAAGCCAACATTCTAAATTTAAAAAAAAGTTGAAAGCATTTCCTCTAAAAATTGGAATAAGATAGGGATGTCCTCTTTCACCCCTTGTATTTAACATAGTTCTTGAAACACTGGCCAGAGCAATTAGACAGATGAAATAGATTAAAGGGAGAAATATAGGAAAAGAATAACTAAAATTGGCACTATTTGCTGATGATATGATTCTATACCTGGAAGACCCTAAAAGTTCCACCAGAAAACTTCTAGAACTAATATATGAATTCAGAAATGTAGCAGGTTATAAAATCAACATCCATAAAAATCCTCAGAAAGGGAAATGAGGAATCAACTTAACAAAAGAGGTGAAAGACCTCTACAATAAAACTACAGAACATTAAAGAAAGAAATTGAAGAAGACCTTAGAAGATGGAAATATCTCTTTGTTCTTGGATATACAAAATTAATATTGTCAAAATGGCCATGTTACCCAAAGCACTATACAGATTCAATGTGATTCCAATTAAAATCCTAATGTCATTCCTTATAGAAAAAGAAAAAAAACAAATGGTGCTGGAAGAACTGGAAATCCATGTGCAGCAAAATAAAATAAGCCCCTCTCACCATGCACAAAACTCAAAGTGGATCAAGGATGTAGGAATTAAACCCGAGACCCTGCATCTAACAGAGGGAAAAAGTAGACCCCATTCTTCATCATGTCAGATGTAGGCCCTAACTTCCTTAACAAGATTCCTGTAGCACAAGAAATAAAATCAAGAATGAATACATTGGATGGACTCAAACTAAAAACTTCTTCTCAGCAAAAGAAACAATCAATGATATGATCATAGAGCCTACATTTGGGGAGAAAATTTTTGCCACACACACGTCAGATAGAGCACTAATCTCCAGGATATATGAAGAACTCAAAAAAACAAACAACCCAATCAATAAATGGGCTAAGGAGCTGAATAAACACTTCTCAGAAAAAGGTATACATTTGAATATATATGAAATATATTTTAAAATGTTCAAAATCTCTAGCAACTAGAGAAATGCAAATCAAAACTACTCTAAGATTTCATCTCACACCAGTCAAAATGGCAGTTATCAAGAATACAGATTACAGTAAATGTTGGCGGGGATGTGGGAGGAAAGGTACACTCATACATTGCTGGTGGGACTACAAATTGGTGCAACCAATCTAGAAAGCAGTATGGAGATTCCTTAGAAAACTTGGAATGGTACCACCATTTGACTCAGTTATTCTACTCCTTCATCTATACTCAAAGGACTTAAAATCAGCATACTATAGTAATGCAGCTACACATCAATGTTCATAGCAGTTCAATTCACAATAGCTAACTGTGGAAGCAACCTAGATGCCCTTCAATAGACCAATGGATAAAGAAACTGTGGTATATATACACAGTGGAATATTATTCAGCATTAAAAGAGAATAAAATAATGGCATTTGCAGGCAAATGGATGAAGTTGGAGAATATTATGCTAAGTGAAGTAAGCCAGTCCCCCCAAAAAACAAAAGGCCATATGTACTCTCTGATAAAAGGACACTGATCCATTATGGGGAGGAGGGAAGCATGGGAAAAATGGAGAAACTTTGACTTGACAAAAGGGAGGGAGGGTGAATGGGGGCAGTAAAGATGGTAGAATGAGACAGATATCATTACTCTGGATAGGTGTATGACTGCACATATGGTGTGCATAGAAATGTAAAGTTGTAAAATGTAAATGTAAAGTTGTGTTGCAGTTGTGAACAATGAATCAAATTGCATTCTGCTGTCATATATACCTATTTATAATTAATTAATTATTTTTTAAAAAAGATAAAATCAAACAAAAAATAAGGTGTTCCTAAGCTGTGCATCTGTTGTTAAGATAACTTCAAACTCATCAATGAATTCTCCCTCCTCAATGGTCAACTTTGGATGGAAAAGCCCCCTCCTCATGGAGATGTACCATGGTCCTGGATTAATGACATCATTACAAAGCACTGGGTTCCATCATTGACAAGAATGTCTATGGTGCTGCCATGTAGTACCTGTAGGAAAATGAGATGGAGTGTGATGGACAACATGGAGGTTGAGTGAGTGCCAAAGAGGGAAAACAGAAAAGAGTTTGACAAGTAACAAGGAGCTCCCTTCTTTGTTGAAGCCTTTCCCCTTTACTCAGCAATGTCTGCACACACATCCTCTTTAACTACCTCAATTGTGTATTTTAAAATGCACCAAATATTGACAACTGCAAGTGACAAACCTAAAGTTTATTCATTTGTCTCTGAGTGCTCTTGCACTCGCCTGTGTGCCCTCTTGTTCTCTCTCTCTCTCTCTCTCTCTCTCTCTCTCTCTCTCTCTCTCTCTCCCTCCCTCCCTCCCTCCCTCCCTCCCTCTCTTTCTCTCTCTCTCTGTCAGACTTGGCCAAGATGCAAACATCATTATTCAGGGTTCCAACAAGTGCTATTTTATTGATAATAATCAAGTGATGTGCTCTGGTATTAAAAACCTATGTGTGACACTGAGACATCCAATACACCATCAAGCATGACATGACATCTTTGTCTGTTGCTGTTGCTATAACTGAATACTACAGACTGGGTAATTCCACTCACAGATTTGAAGGTTCACATTTGAGGGACCACATCTGGTAATGGCCTTCTCATGGATGTGGATTCTGTAGAGTCCTGAATTAATGCAGAGCATTAGATAGTGAGTTAGAATATATATGCCGGTTCAGGTCTCTCTTCTTCTTTAATAAAGCCTCTATATTGATCCTTAGTGTCCCACCTTTATGATCTCTTTTATTCCTAATTATTTCCCAAAAGACCCACTTCCAAATACCACTAAGATATTACTTTGGTGATTACATTTCCAATATATTAAATTTGGGGCACATTCAAATCATGATTTCCCCAATTTCGGATGCTACTGCACTCCCAGATCAACAGTCTCTCCACAACTCCTGAGGGTCTGTGTTGAGACAAAAAAAAAACTTTCTAGTTTTTTTGTTACATCACAATCAACACAGAAGGTTTCTGTGACTAAATGATTCACATTTGTCCAGATTTTCTCCCATCAGCAAGTAATTCTGCAGTAGTGGACGCTAGCAGGTGTTCTCTGATTTGATTCTACTTAGAGAGTGTGTCCAATCTCCTTGGTGGGTGTTCAGTCACCAAGCCTGCCCACTCAACTTTAGTACAGACCCCAGTTGCTTCTGAACAACTGGTAATAAATCAAAGTTCCTATAACCCCTTCCTGGGGTTTAGTTAATTTGCTTAAGCATCTCACATTCATAATAAAACACAGTTACTTGTTTATTACGTAAGATATTACAGAGGATCCAGGAAAAGAAATGCATAAGATGAGTCCAGTAAGAAGGGATATAGAGCTCCTATACTCTCTCCAGTGTGCTACTCTTCCCGCACATGCCCATCTATCCAGAGGCTTTCTGGAATCCTGAACTTTTCTGATTTATGCATGCGTCACTGCATATACATGACTGATTTAATCCTTGGTCATTGGTGTTAAACTTACATTTCAGCCCCTCTTCACTTCCCAGAGGCTGGGAAGTCAGGCTAAAAATCTCAACCCCCTAATTCTACCTTGGTCATTCTGATGACCAGTCCCCATCCAGAAATTATGTAGGAGCCCCAGCCACCAGTCAACTTATTAGCATATGGTAGTGCCGCAGTCCAGCTGCAGCAAAATAACCGGGGGGTGGCGAGGAACTTGCATAGATTGATACAGCAGGAGTGGGAGCCGTTTATTGTAGGACAGGAGGGGTATGTATACATTCCACACAGCTTATCTTAATTAACGTAAACTAGATACAGCAGTCAACCAATAAGGAATCTCCACACTTAATGGCTCACTGGCGTTACTTCACAAACCACTCCCTCTGGCAAAATGCCAGGCACCATCTTGACTTGTTTACAGACTCTAACATGATAGGATACTATAACTTTGAAGAATTTAAGGATTTTAGAAGTACTATGCCAAGAAAGACAAACAAAGACCAAATACATATCTTACAATGCCACAATGGCCAATTAGAGATGCATCTGAAGCCTCTGGTCTACACACCCAACTGCAGGTAGGGTTCACAATCTGACCACTTCTTTCTTCACAGACTAAGGATTGCTCACAGAGGCCATATCTTTCAAGAAAGTGAAGACTCACACTCCTTATAACAACTAAAGGAAAAAGGTCAGTGGTTGTAATGGGATGGGGACAGATAGATAAGGAATGTCTTCTTAACAAGTACAGGGGGTCTCCTTTTGGAAGTGATGAAAATGTTTTATACTGAGGTAGAACTGATGGTTGTATAACAGTACTACTCTGAAAATAATAATCCTCCAATTATTTTTTCCTTCCCCATTTATTGATAACCTGTAGTTTTTCTACTCCAGCTTCTTTATCTGAGAATGGATATTGAGAAGCTGCCCCCCTGGGCTTGGGTTGACATCCAATAAAATGGTAACTATAACATATCTCAGTCTCGCACAGCCTAGCCAAATCTGCATATGTTTATTTCTTGGCTTTTGTTCCAATAAATTATAACATTTCTGTAGCTATCTTCCCAGTTTTGGTCAAATTGTGATTAAATTTGGGTTTTCTCTCTCTATCACTTGTTCTTATTTCTAATGCAGGCACGTGACTGAATCCAGTTAGTAAAGATCCCACCAACATCTGACTTGGGCCCCATCAACATTACTGTGGATAGACTAAATGCTACTGAGTGTTTACTTTTAAATGATTAGTTTTGTGTTATGTGAATTTCAGCTCAATAAAAAATGAGTTAAAATACAAGGGAACCATTTTATTTCATTACTAGGAGTGACTCTTACAAAGTGATGGCTTTTTGCACCTATGTGGGGAAATCCCTGGGGAGCAACAGGTTTTCTTTAAGTATGAGAAGTTGCACCACAGGCCTGGTCTTTGGCTCTGTCACCTTGAAAATTGAGATTCCCCTTCACTAGGGATGACTGAATTAATTAGGGCACTTAGTGTGCTATATCTTTTCTGTTCACTTGTAGTCCCAGCTACTGGGACAGCATATAATATTAAACTTTATGCTTCAAAAAAATTCAACCTAAAAAGGATTTCTCTTAAAATTAAAAAAAAAAAAAACTTCTTCAAATCTCCCTATTTGTAGATTCTTGCTCCTTAGAGGAATCTCACAGCCAGAAGGGACTGGTATGCAAAGTAGAGGGCAGGAGGGAGGCATTGCAGGTATTTCTGTATTGGAGTGAAAGGAAATTATTATGATATGGCAAATGAATGACTCATTCCAGAAAAGCAGAGTGGGAAAAAGAGGTCTGCCACTTATCTGAGTTTCCTCAGTCTTCTGAAAGCACTCACCAGACTCCAGCAATTTTAGACTGACTTCTTTGACAATTAGTTACTAAGAAAAAGTAGGACATTTTTAAAGCATTTTATAAAAACACATGCAATATTCTGTTATGGGCTTATGGAGGAACTAAGAAGAACATGTCTGCCAGTGTTTCAGTTGTCACTGTGTAGTATAAATCCTAATAAATGCTACAAAATGTGTAGATGTGCTTAGTGCAAAGCCAAAATATTTCACTTTTAAGAAATTTAGGGTCAAGAGATTAAGGGCATTACCCAAGATTATACATATATCCTGATAACATTGGCCTTCCTTGCTAAATCCCATGTCACAAATTATAAAGATATCTTCAAATTTCACATTTTGGATTTATACAGAGGGGTTTCATCATTTTTCACCACACTTTCTACTTTAGACCATTTTTTCTTTGGACTTTTGGCTTTCCTTACTTGAATGCTATTGATTTTATGCAGGTTTTAACATAAATGATTAGAGTATTTGTTGATGATTTTATAAGTATGTAAGAATTAAATAAATATATTTACTGATTTATGCATGCACTATATATTATGGTACATTGTGTAGATATTTTAACATGTGTTATACCACAAACATATTTAATAGTTGGCTTTTTAAACATAAACTATATTCAGAATATCTCCACCACAGCACATACAGATTAACTTCAATTTGTATAACAAATGTATGTTCCATAGTGTACTTAACTGTTTAATTATACTGTGGAAGATATTTAAGTCCAACTGTTGCAGCACTAAATATGCAAGAGAGCCTTTACATACATTAGAGAATGTGATTGTAAATAAAATATCTAGAAGTAAAATCACTTGATCAAATTGCACACGCATTTTGAATGATAACAATTACTGCCCAAATCCTGTTACAAAACCTTCAACAGTTTATACTCAAAATAGTTAATGAGTATTGAAATATTTGCTACTCATTTGAGGGAATATTTTCAGGTCACATTAATTATTAAATGGCTTGTTAATTATTTAGACAGCTTGTAATTTTCCTTCGCACTATAATTGACTTTCTCTGTAATCACCTGGCCAAAATCATCTTAGAGAGCCTCCTGGTAACCAAATCAGGAACCACCCATCCACTTTCAAGTTTCCAAGAAGTCACTGCTGCCAGTTGGGGTGGCATATGCCTGTAATCCCAACAGCTCAGGAAGCTGAGGCAGGAGAATTGTGAGTTCAAAACCAGGCTCAGCAAAAGCAAGGCAGTAAGCAACTTGGTGAGACACTGTCTCTAAATAAAGTACAAAATAAGGCTGGGATGTGGCTCAGTGGTAGAGTGTCTCTGATTACAATCCCCAGTACAAAAATAAAAGTCTGGGTTAAAGATGGCGGGACAGAGGGAGGCAGCATTCTGTGTCACTCTGTCTGTGATCCATATCTCACCTAGTCAGAACACTGCATCTCTGAGAGTGTTAGAAGACCCCTATATAGCTGCTCTCTGCAGAAATCACCAGCACTGTGACCCCACGCAGGGCTCCGGGCCTCAGAGTTTGAGCAGGACGCCAAGAATTCAAGCAGGACCCCTGCCTCCAACACCCAAAGTCCAAAGATCTAGCCACACAGGGCTTGCAAGCACCTTAGCAGAATCACCTATCATCACACCTGCAGATCTCCAAGACTTTGTTTTGCACCCATGCAGGTCACTCAGCTGCTACCAGCCCACAGCACAATACCATCACCTGGCTCCCCTCACCCCACCAGACACCCCAGTGCTGAAAGCAGACTGCCTCCATCTTGGCTGAACATTCTCACCATATTAGGTGGGGGCAGCTCCCAGATCAGATCTCCAGTGGCCATGTACCAGGTTTGCAATCTCCCCCTCTCCCCAGTGGCGGTAACCCAACACAATAGCTGCCTAACACAGGTGCACAATGTGACCAGGGCACCACCCACTGGAGAGCCCCAGTGTAAGAGGACCAGATGTATACACAGCCAAGTTCTACAAGACCTTTAAAGAAAAACTAATACCAATACTCTTCAACTTATTCAGAAAATAGAAAAAGAGGGAGCACTTCAAAGCTCATTCTATGAGGTCAATATCACCCTGATTCCAAAACCAGGCAAAGACACATAAAAGAAAGAAAACTTTAGACCAATGTCTCTAATGAACATAGATGCAAAAATTTTCAATAAAATCCTGGAAAATTGAATAAAAAAAAATCAAAAAGATTGTGCACCATGATCAAGTGGGATTCATTTCAGAAATGCAAGGTTGGTTCAACATACAGAAATCAATAAATGTAATTCATCTCATAAATAGACTCAAAGATAAGAATCATATAATCATCTCAATAGATGCAAAAAAAAGCATTTGACAAAATACAGCAGCCTTTCATGTTCAAAACACTAGAAAAACTAGGGATAACAAGAACATATCAACATCATAAAGGCTATCTATGCTAAGCCCAAGGCTAACAACATTCTAAATTTTAAAAAAGTTGAAAGCATTCCCTCTAAAAACTGGAATAAGACAGGGATGTCCTCTTTCACCACTTTTATTTAACACAGTTCTTGAAACACTGGCCAGAGCAATTAGACCAAAGACATTAAAGAGATGCATATAGGAAAAGAAGAACTTAAATTAGTACTATTTGCTGATGATATGATTCTATACTTATAAGACCCAAAAAGCTCCACCAGAACATTGCTAGAACTAGTAAATGAATTCAGCAAAGTAGAAGGATATAAAATCAACACCCATAAATCAAGGGCATTTCTGTATATCAGTGACAAATCCTCTGAAAGGGAAATGAGGGAAACTACCCCATTTACAATAGCATCCAAAAAAATAAAATACTTGGGAATCAACTTAATGAAAGAAGTAAAAGATCTATACAATAAAAATTACAGAACCCTAAATAAATAAATCAAAGAAGACCTTAGAAGATGGAAAGATCTACCTTGCTCTTGGATAGGCAGAATTAATATTATCAAAATGACCATACTACCAAAGGCACTATACAGATTTAATGCAATTCCAATCAAAATCCCAATGGCATTCCTCATAGAAATAGAAAAAGCAGTCATTAAATTCATCTGGAAAAATAAGAGACCCAGAATAGCTAAAGCAACACTTAGCAAGAAGAATGAAGCAGATGGAATCACTATACCAGACCTCAAACTATTCTACAGCACAATAGTAACAAAAATGACATGGTATTGGCACCAAAACAGACTGGTAGACCAATGGTACACAATAGAGGACACAGAGACTAACCCACAAAACCACAACTATCTGATATTAGACAAAGGTGCCAAGAACATGTATTGGAGAAAAGACAGTCAACAAATGGTGCTGGGAAAACTGGAAATCCATATGCAACAAAATGAAATTAAAACCCTATCTCTCACCATGCACAGAACTCAACTCAAAATGGATCAAGGACTTAGGAATAAAATCAGAGACCCTGTGACCAATAGAAGAAAAAGTGGGCCCTAATCTCCATCATGTGGGATTAGGCCCCAATTTCCTTAATAAGATTCCTGTGGCACAAGAATTAAAATCAAGAATCAATAAAAGGGATGGACTCAAACTAAAAAGTTTCTTTTCAGCAAAAGAAACAAAAGAACAAATAACCCAATCAATAAATGGGCCAAGAACCTGAAGAGACACTTCACAGAAGATGATTTGCAATCAATCAACAAACACATGAAAAAATGTTCATCATCACTATCAATTAGAGAAATGCAAATCAAAACCACTCTAAGATTTTTATCTCACTCCAGTCAGAATGGCAGGTATTATGAAGACAAACAACAATAAGTGTTGGTGAGGATGTGGGGAAAATGGTACACTCATACACTGTTGGTGGGACTGAATTGGTGCAGTCAATATGGAAAGCAGTATGGAGATTCCTTGGAAAATTGGGAATAGAACCACCATTTGACCCAGCTGTTCCTCTCCTTGGTCTGTGCCCAAAAGACTTAAAAACAGCATACTATAGAGACACAGTCACATCAATGTTTATAGCAGCAAAATTCACAATAGCTAAACTGTGGAACCAACCTAGATGTCCTTCAATAGATGAATGCATAAAAAAAATGTGGTATATATACACAATGGAATATGACTCAGCAATAAAAGAGAATAAAATCATGGCATTTGCAGGTAAATGGATGGAGTTAGAGAAGATAATGCTACGGGAAGTTTGCCAGTCCCCAAAAAAACAAATTCTGAATGTTTGATGAAAGGTTGATTCATAGTGGGATACGGAGCAGGAGCATGGGAGGAATATATGAACTCTAGATATGGCAGAGGGGTTGAAGGGAAAGAGAGGGGGCATGGGGTTATTAATGATGGTGGAATGTGATGATCATTATTATCCAAAGTACAGGTATGAAGACACAAATTGGTGTGAATATAGTGTGCATACAACCAGAGATATGAAAAATTGTGCTCTATATGTTTAATAAGAATTGTAATACATCCTGCCATCATACATAAATAAAAAATAAATAAATAATTTTTAAAAAGATAAAATTAGCAGTGAACCTAGAAAAGAAAAAAAAAAGAATTTCTTGGGTTGGAACAATTCTTTGGGTTTAATGTTAGGGTAGTCAAGGAAACTGGGGACAACAACAGAATGAATAGGCATCCAAGCATGAGTGGGATCTTTCACTGAGGAAGTGCCCCCTCCCCAACCCCCCCCCAAAAAAAAACAAACAAGTTTTAGCCTAGAATTTAAATCTTGGATGTTGAGGCCCCATTCTCCTCCCTATAGACAATCTATCTCCTGCCTTGACGGCAATGCTTCAGTGCAAAGGGCCACTTTCAGGTGAGAAAAGTGTCCCCTCCACCACTTTGTCCTTCTATAAAACATTTACAAAGACCCATTGAATAGCAGGAAATCAAGATGAAAGAATAAAACTGAAAACCGACAATGAAACACTGGCACTTGGTGTCCCTGAAAATGCAAAACTGAACACCAAAGACCAACTGTCCTGATCTGTTGAGTACACCCCTTCCTGACAAAGAGCTGGGCCTGTGCCTGAGGATGGTTCTCCACTTGGTCCTAAGAAAAGACAAATTATTGGTAAACGCCCATTTCAAAACTGGCCCTGAGAGAACCACATGGAAGTAGACATGTCTAAAAGAGAAGCAGCCTTCTTATTCATGCTGGTAGGGCACACCAAGCCTTGTTTACAATACTCAGCATGATTCTACCAACCATAGGAGGTCTGCTTCCACCTGACCTGCTGAACCTACTTCTATCACCCTATTCCCCTATAACACAACACTTACAAACCACTAACAGACAATTATCTGTTTACCACCTCTATAGTTTTGCCTTTTTTAAGATGACTATGGTATCTTCAGACTGGCTTCTTTCACTTGAAATTCATCTATGTCTTTGGATGTCTTGAAAGTTCGTTCCTATTGAGTAGCAGTATTACATTATGTAAATGTACCCCAGATTGGTTATTCATTTCACCTATTCAAGTATGTCCTGATTGCTTAAGGAATCTGAGTGTTATGAATAGAGTTACTATACATATTACTGTGTTTTGTTTGAATACAAGTTTCAAAGCAGTCTAACTACCTAAGGTCACCATTGTTGAATTATACAGTAAGATTATGTTTATGTTTTGTTCATTTCCTTGGCTCATTTATTGATTGGGTTATTTGTGGGGTTGGTTTTTTTTTTTGTTGTTGTTGTTGTTGTTGTTGTTTTGGTTTGTTTTTTGGTGTTAAGTTTTTTGAAACTTACTCATTCTAACAGGTAAATGGTGCTATCTGTATTACACAGGCTTCTCCAAAGAAATAGAACCAATAGGATATATAATATATCACTTCCTGCAAAAAGTCACATGAAAGTAATGCACAAACATGGGTAAAACTGGTATGATATTGTGTAACTATCCCCTGACTCCACCTCTGGTACAGTTCTTAGCAACCATCCCTCTGTAAATATTAATACCCCATACCATGGGATTGCTGTTACTCCCTCTGAAGATAGTTTGCATTCTCTCTTCAATGTGTATTCTTTGCTTTTCCCCAACGCTTCTCACTCAAGATGTTTGGCATTCTCCCTTGTACTAAAGATGGCCAGCATTTTCCCTTGAATGTGTATTTCTTACTTTACCCCAAAAAAGTATCTTCCCTGAGATGGCCCACATTCTCCCTTATGTATATCTGCTTTTTGAAATAAATCTACCAGTGTCTCAAACGGCATATGCTGAAATTATTTTCATCCACACATGCCAAAGATCCCATTTATTCTTAGTCCAATTCCTCCTCTTCAGAGTTCCTTGAACCTCCAGACACAAATTGAATAATGTGTTTATGGAGACTGGGAGTCCTACCATCTGCCATCTGCAAGCTGGAGAACCAGAAAAACCGATGGTGTAACTCAGTCCATGTGTAAAGGCTTGAGTGGAACAGGGGAAGTGTTGGGTGAGGTGAACCAAGAACCAAGAGGGCAGAAGCAAATGGAAGTCCCAAATCTAGACAAGAAAGATAATTCACTCTATTTCCATCTTTTTGTTCTATCTGAACACTCAGAGTGGATGATAAGCATGTCCATTGGTGAGGGCTATTTTCTTTATCAGTCTTTTGATTCAAATGCTAATCTATTCCCAAAACACTCTCACAAACACACCTGGAATTAATGTTTTAACAACTCTCCATCTCTGAATTGTCTCCTAAATTAATCACCACAGGACTCTCACTATTGTTTTAATTTACAATTCCCTAATGACATGCTGTTGAGCTTTCTTTTTTGTTGTTGTTGTTACACTTATTTGCCATTGTATATATTCTACAGTGAAGTGTCTGCAGATTGTTAATTGTTTATGTCAGACTGTTTATTCTTTTTGAGTTTTAGAAATCTTTGTGTATTTTTGATAAGTCATTGTTCAGATATGTTTTACAAATATTTCTCCCAATCTGTGGCTGCTTTTCATTCTGTTAACAGGATCTTTTACAGTGTAAACATTTTCAATTTTAATAAAATCTACAAATTGAATTATTTTTCTTTCATTAACTGCCTCTTGGTGTTGAATTCAAAACATCATCACCCTTCATAATATCGGGGAAAATTTTTGTCTGTGTTTTCATTTAGGATTTTTACAGTTTTTTATGTTAAATTTGAGGTGATGCACAAGTTTGAACTTATTTTTGTGTAAATTGTGAAGCTCATTTCTCCATTCATTTTATTCTACATAGTCATCTAGTGATTTCATCACTATTTGTGGAATCTTTAAACAGCTCTTACTCCTTGGACAAAGCCAGTTGAGTATATCTACGTTGATGTATTCAGGGGCTCTCTGTTCTGTGGAGTTTATCAATGTGCCCATTTCTTCACTAATATTACACTCTCCATTGTTGTAGATTTATAAATCTTGGAATCTAGGTGTGGAAGTTCTTCAACTTTGTTTCTCTTCAGTCTTCTGTCATCTACTCTAGGTTCTAAAACACTTTGTTGATCTCCTTTCCCGGAATTTTTTTTTAAGATTGTGCTGAATCTGTAGATTCATTCTGGTGGAACTACCATCTTAATATTGAGTCAACCAATCCTGAAAACCAGTATCTCTCCAATTATTCTAGTTTTTCTTTATTTCATTTAACTATGTTTCAAGGTTTCAGCAATAATGATGTCTATTTTATTCTGTGTTTCAAGGTTTTCTGGATGCATATTTATACATCTTTTCTTAGGTTTATACCTAAAGACTTGAAGTTGGGATATTTCGTCATAATTTTTTTTTTATTTCAAATTCCAATTGTAAAATTAGGAAATCAATTGACTTGTATTATTGGTCTTTTACTTTGCTTCTGGTTATCTCCGTTCATTTCAGATCAAGGTAAGAGATAGGTCCATTTCAATTTGAATTTCAGAAATCGTGGCATTGTATAATTCTTACCCAACATTTCAGTGATGCGGTGGGACTCTTGTGAAGCCGTGAACTCAGTGCGTGAGGCACTGCGCCCTGGGACCGGCAGGGGGAGCCAGAACCCGCTTTTCTGACCTGTGTATTGCGCGTGCGTATTTCGCTTACGGAAGTCCTCTTGGTCAGACTCAGTCCTCGCCTCACTTGGGCCGCGTCCGCCGCGAAGGAGAGGCTCGCTTCCCTCGTGTCCTTTGCAGATGGCTGAAGCGGGGTTCTTTGCCGCACTTCTCCCGGAAGTTTTTCTGAAATAGGAAGTAGGGAAGTTCTCGTTTGCTGGCGTGTTCTCGTGAAGTTTGTTCTTCACTGTTAAGAAGACACTTTTTAAACATGTTATTAAAAGCGTCCTCTCGTTGAGGCTTTGCCTGTGGGTTTACAAGTTTGGGTTCGTTATTTCGGAGAGTTCCCCAGGCGGGGGCGACGGGGCGACGAGGGAGCGGCGGCGGGGACGGCGCCCTCTGCCCTCCTGGGTGGCGGGTGGCGGGTGGCGGCCCGGCTTCCCGGGGTGGTCCCAAGCGCAAGACTTAGAAAAGAGCGACACTCCTTCAACTGTTACTACGAAATGTGCGACACTCCTTCAACCGTTACTACGAAATGTGCGACACTCCTTCAACCGTTACTACGGAATGTGCGACACTCCTTCAACCGTTACTACGAAATGTGCGACACTCCTTCAACCGTTACTACGAAATGTGAGACACTCCTTCAACTGTTACTACGAAACCGAAACTTAACATTTCACTTTCCTGGCTTAATGGAAGCGAATACATCAAGAATATTTATTTCCGTTGAAGAAAGTCCCAGTTTGACGTATAACAATGAAGTAACAGGTATTTTTTTACAAGGATTAGCATCTTAGGTGAAATAGGTTAACCATATTAACTTTTCATATTAAACCACAAAATGAAGAGAGGTTTGGTTGTTTGGTTTTGGTTTTGTTCCTAGACTTTGGTCATTTATAATAAATTCAGAATTAACTAAAGGTCAATTAACCCTGAGTTCTTCTTCTTCTTCTTCTTTTTTTTTTTAAGTATTTCCCATCTTTATTTTTTTTATTTGTTTTAATTAGTTACACATGACAGTACAATGATCTTGACATATCATATGTTTTTTTTTTTTTTTTTAATTTTAATATTTATTTTTTAGTTATTGGCGGACACAACATCTTTGTTTGTACGTGGTGCTGAGGATCGAACCCGGGCCGCACGCATGGCAGGCGAGCGCGCTACCGCTTGAGCCACATCCCCAGCCCACATATCATATGTTTGAATCAGATGGGGTCTAATTTCTCATTTTTCTGAGTGTACAGGTTGCAGAATCACATTGGTCATGCAATCACGAATATACCCACAGCGATAATAATGTCTATTTTATTCTGCTGTCCTTCCATTCCCCTGTTTCCCTCCCCTCCCATCACTTCTCTCTACACAATCTAATGTGACACACTTCTTTTTTTCCCCTCACATCGTCATACATGTATTCTGTATAACCATGAGAGTCTCCTTCCATCTTCCATGCAATTCCCCTTCTCCCTCCCTTTCTCTCCCACCTCTCTTCCTTATCTAGAGGTAATCAGCTTCTCATGCTCTTCCTCCCTAACCCTGAGTTCTTAATGCTACTTTTTGTTTGCATTATTTATGTTTTCCTTACTTCAGGGTCCATTTTGCTGGTTTACATTTTCTAGGAAATTACATAATTTCTGTAGGTTTACAGTTTTATTGTACGTTTATTGGAAATGTTCGTCTCTCCTATATTTGTACTTTTATACAAAAATAATTTTCTTTTTCCTACTGGGATTGAACTCACTGGTGCTTTATCCCTGAGCCACATCCCCAGCCTTTTTATGTTTTATTTTGAGAATGGGTCTAGCTAAATTGATGAGGCTGGCTTTGAACTTGCCTCAGCCTCCAGAGTTGCTGGGATTACAGATGTGTGCCAGCAAACCTGGCTTTTATACAGTATTCTTAATCTTATCTATGTTTTTCTTTTCTCTCTTTTCTATTTTTAGTCAACTGTAGTGTTAAAATATGCATATTACACTGTTTCAAATGACATAATTGCTATTTGGCAATTCTTATGATCCACTCATTGTTATTGTTTCTTATCAGTTACTGATGTGTTTGTGTGTGTGTGTGTGTGTGTGTGTGATTACTAACACAATAACAGTATTTTTATCAGTTATCATACTAGTACAATCAGTACCAATAACTGATTTTATTTTTATTTATATATAATGGAATTTCTATTATCAATAAATAAGCTCGTGTATTTATATGTAAATATACAAACTACTACACACACGTGTGTGTATTACAATGTGTACATATACATATATATTATGTATATATAGTATACACACATACATATACAATATTGGTAGCTAGCTATATCATTTACAGGTATTGTAACCATTAACTATTATAAGCAAGAAGTCATCATTTTGAGGAAGGGAATCTAAAGGCTTTCTATACCTGCCATATTTGTGCATTGTCATATCGATAGTGAGAAGCATTATTAGGTCATTATGTTTCTAACTTGTTGATAATATCCCGAGCTAGACCATGTCCATTTCTTCTTTAATTTGAATAAAGTCAATAAAGCTTCTTCTATTTTATGACAGTGTAGTTAATGTGAACATACTTTGTGATATTATACATTTGCCAACAATGGGCAATGGCTGTTGTAGAAATTTAAAGGTAAAGAAAACTGTGTTATTTCTGGTTTTGATAATTGTATTTCAGGTTTAACATGATTTCCTAGGAGCATTATAAATTTCTTTTGGATTTTATTATACAAATAAGTCACATATCCCTTTTTTATCATTAGCTATATGACTAGCTAAATCAATATTATTCATTCAATTAAAATTAGAAGCATTCTATTGTTTGTGCCTCCAAAATAATAACTCAAAGAGGTAATATTTTCCCCACAGAATAAAACGTCTAAAACCATTCAAAATATCCTTCCATTTTTTTCTCTGATTACTTTCTGTAGAGCGTCATCAAGTAAATTATCAATCTGAGTGCCTTTGGAATGCTTCTGTTTTAGCAAACATTTCAGTGAAACATCATATCATCATGTCATGAATTCTGTTCATATTCTCCTAATCTTTGAATGTTTTTTCCAGTGGCAAATATTTGCATTACTACAACTAAAATATATACATGGAAACACAATAAAGAATGTTTTGGAATAAGTGACCCAGTCACAATGAAGCAATTCACCATTGGAGCTTTTTTTAATAAAGCCAGTATTTTGAAAATGTTCAGCCATGAAGTAATGTAGAGTATCTAAAGGCTACACCTTTTCCTGGTGAAATGTCACTTACTTTTTAGAATATGAGCCCAGGACACAGCAACACATCAATAAAAAGTAACAATAATATAATGAATAATTATACACCTAAGCCATAAAATAAGTGATACCTGAAATTCTACAAAGATGGGCTATATTCTTTATTTTTCAGTGTGCTCTTTTAAAAAAAAGTACAGCCAGTTATCATTGTCAGTTATTAATGACTAACACTAAACGTACACACATTTGAAAACAAAATGTTTTAATAAATTTTTATTTCAGAACAATGTAAGATTTACACAAAATTTGAAGAGAATAGTATAGAGACTTCCCAGAGCCCCCTCTTATTAACATCGTAAATCAGTGTGGTACATTTGTCACAATTAGTGAACAAATACTAATTATCACCACCTGAAGTTCATATTTTATTTAGATTTGCCAATTTCCCTGTTCCAGATTCCCAACCAGGACACCAGCTTACATTTACTAGTGATATGTTTCAGCTCTTCTGGCTATCACAGATTTTTAGGCTTTCATATTTTTGATGATCTTAATAATGTTTATACTGGTCAAGTTGGATAAAGTTCCCCATTTGAGATTTCCTTGATGTTTTCCTCATAATTTAGTTGGGCTTATTGGTTCTGGAAAAGATTAGAGGTAGGGTGCTGTTCTCACACTTGATATCATACATATGTGCTCTATAGATGGTTTTTCCCTGTTAATGTTAACTATGACCACTTGGATAAGGTTGTTTGTCAGGTTTCTCCTCCAGGAATTTGCATTTTGCCCCATCTATGCTTGATGTAGTCTTTAGGAAGAAATCCTTATGCACACCCCACATCTAAGAAGTTGGCAGTTAGCTTCATCTCGATGACTATCTGCATTATTTGGGGAGAATTCCTCTAAATAGGAGCTTTCTATTTACTCCAACTCGTTCATCCAGTATGGACACCTGGATAGTTATCTTAAGCTTTTGGTTATAATTCAGTACTATGTTATTTATTTCTATTGTTCCTGCTTTAGCCATTGGGGAATCTTGCCAGTAGCTTTCTTTTCTTTGACAAAATCCCATCTTGGTGGGTTTTATTTTGTTGGACACTTTCTTTCTTTCTGGCACTTTAATTTTATCTAGTTTTGTATTTTGATGCCCCAGTTCTAGTGTCATCCATTTCTCTGAGGACCTCTGCCTTCTTTTATTGGAAAATGGTATTAAAAACCTAAATTTGAAACTCCTCTTAGATCCATAGAGAAGTAAGGTTATAAGGACAAACCTCAGCCCCTAAAGTTGAAGACATCCACAGTTAAATAGAGAAAAACACAACTTACTAAGCAGAAATCCACCAACAGAACCTCCATGGTAATCAGTGCTAAGAAACCCAAGCAGTAATTGATGAATTGCTAGAGGCTTAGTTTGGACAAGTATGAGAGATAAAGTCTCCAGGAGGGAGCTTCACTTTCAATGAGTTTACCTCCCAAAGCTCTACCAGGTTCTTATAAATGAATATTAGTGAAAAATACCCTTGTGCTTCCCACAAAAGAAAAGGACCATTTTAAAATATGCCAGACTGTTCTACTCTTAACAAGATTTGTCCTCAAAAAAAACTTTTTACCATCTTTATTGAGATGTAATTGACAAATGAAAATTGTGTACATAAAGTGTACTATGTGATGATTTGATATACATAGACTTTGTGAAATGATCACTGTAATCAAGCTAGTTAGTACATCTATTACCTTTGTGTAAGGATGAGGTAAGAACACTTAATATATATTCTCTTAGTAAATTTGAGTATACAGTATGGTGTTAACTACAGTCACTATGCTATATATTAAATACCCAGAACTTGTCTTATAACTGGAAATTTATCTCCTTATGGCCAATATCCCCCCATTTTCCCCATTCAGTCTTTCTAGGACCTCCATCAAAGGGTTGTAATCTAATCCCTATTCATGACTCATTTTCATTATTTTTCCAGGCACTACCTCTAATTATTAGCATCATCTTATAAAGTATTTTACTGTTGGAAAATGCTTTCATGCATAAATTATCATGTTGATATGTTCCTGCTCAAGAAGGTTAGGAGATGACAGTAAATGTCACATGGGCCCAGTGGGTAAGTCTCAACACTGATGTACTTATCCAAATGTCCAGAACAGCACCACACAACACTCCACTCTCCACCCTCATCCATGATCCTTCAGAGCACTTACAGCTACTTAAAGATTTTTTTCCTTGTTTACTTATATCTAGTGTGTCACTCACTAGAATACAGTGTTCCTGACCACAATTTCATGTCTTCCTTACTACTTGAGCTTCAACAGGGAGAACACTGAGTGCTGGAGACTTGGTGACTATTTTTTGAATGAATACATTTGTGGATTAAATTTTTACTAACTGGCAATTCTGTTCTAAGCACTAGGCTAGGGTTTGAGTAGTAAAAACAGGCATTTTGTTTTTCATTTGTTTGCTTTTTGTTTTTCCCAGAATAAAAGCTTGTTTGTTCTGATTAAGCTTATGTTTATTAGATTAATTATGAGAATAAAGTACAAGATACTGTGGAAACATTTCGTATTTCACTGAGCACTCACATTTATTTTCACAAAAGAAATAATAGGAAAAAAATTACACGAATGGCATACTAAAATCACAGTCATTTTTTTAAAATTAAAGAACATGGAAGAACTCACCATTATAAATGTAATAAATATGTAAAAAGCCTTCAGTCATAGTTTTAAACTTCATGAACACTAGAGAACTCACATGGAGGAGAAATTCTATATATTATATGAGTGTGGAGATGCCTTCATTCCTAATGTATCCTTTCAACAACAGAAGTCAACTAAACTAGGGAGAAACCGTGGATCTATGGTCACCATGGGCAAGTATTGTGTAAAAATCCAGCCTTGACATCCACAAATAAACTCAGAGGAGGGGCAGCCCTGAAAGAGGAAACTCTGAATCATGAAAAGAGAGCTTCCTGAATGTTATGTGGAAATAATGGGAAATGTGTTGTAATTATCTGCAATCAAAGCATATGTATAGATGAAAATCTAATAAAAATAATTACTTTCTATTAGTATGTGCTAATATTTTTAAAGAATATATCTGGTATTTGTTTCTGGTTCCTGCAGAGTTTCAAATCTTTTGGAATTTCCTGAGTGACAGGAGTATATTTATTGTACTAATGAGGTGAGTGTCATGGCCCTTACGCAGCCCCAGGAAGGGAGCTGCTTACCAAAAAGATCAACCATGTGATTACAGTGTTAATATTTTGAGCCAGCCCAACCTGGGAAGGAAATGGGAAGCAGAAGATTGAGTTAAATTATGTGGCTAATGATTTGATCAAGCATTATATACCTATATAATAAAACCTCTAAACAGTGGGGCTCAAGGGTCCTTCATGATTGCTAAATAATTTCATGTTCAGGAGGGTAACAATCCAGGACTCCACAGGGAGAGGGCTGTGGATCCCTACTTACCTCTCCTTATGTATTTCTTCACTTAGCTGTTATAAAGTTGTATATTTTATAATAAAACTCTAATCATAGTATGGCTCATACTTAAGCTGTATGAGTCTTTTTGGTGAATTATTGAATCTGATAAAATCATGGAAACTTCAAAATTTACAGCCAGTTTATCAAAGTACAAGTGGTTTGGGGTCCCCCAAAATGTGCCTGGCATATGAAGTAAAGGTAATCTTGGAGACTGAGCCTTTAAAAATGTGGAATTCTGGTGCTAACTCTGAGTAGATGGTGTCAGAATTGGATTGCAGCACACCTTTGGTGTAGTTGAAATGAAATAGGGAAATAACATAATTCATACTGGAGGAGAGATTCAATAAAATGAACATGAAAAAAGCCTCTTACGCAAAAAAAAAAAAAGAAATTTCATAGAACACACCAGGATTTATGTTATATAAAATAATTTTATTGAAACAAGTGAAAGAATGTGTAGAAATCACTCATTCCCTAGTCAATGTTATAGTTCTCATAATTGAGAAACACTAATTCTAAGGTCAAAGTAGAAAAACCTTCAACTGAAATTATCATCATCAACTTCAAACCATGATGGGAAAGGAGGGGGAAGTGCTAGGGAGTGATATTACTCAAATAATATTGTTATATTTTGTGCATGTACAAATGTGTAACAACAAATCCCATCATTATGTAAAACTATAATGCACCAATTTTAAAATGTGGGGGAAAAAACCCAAACCATAAAAAAACATAATCAAGTACAGTTTAACCCACAATTCATCCTAAAATTCAGAATTTCTCCAACTGAACTATTTTTTTCAGAAGGATAAAACAGAATAATGATATGATTTGGGATGTTACATGCAGATTTTGTTATAATAAATACGTAAATCTATTACCCTTATTAACCTTACATACCTTTCAATAGATTAGTAGAGATTCTCTTTCACATACAGTTGGATTATATCCTGATAAATACATTGTAAACTGAAATTATAAGCTTAAGATGCATTCAATACATCTAATTTAATGTATAGCATAGCTTGATGCAATAGAGTATTGACTGCTCACCATATCGTGTAGCTAACTGGGACTCAGGGATTACTGTCACTACTTGGTATCATAAGAGACTATAATATCACAAAACACTAGCCCAGGCAGAGATCAAAATTTAAAGTACAGTAATGTTGAAAAATCATCAGTCAAACCAGTTGGGACAATCTGTACTTATAAATGCACATGCAGTAAAAGTTAATTGTTAAATACAATATTTGGCCAGTTTCTAGTTTGCTACGCAGTTCTAAATATAATTATAGAAATCTAGGACCATCAGAAAATTACTTTGAGTATGAGTCAAAAAATATAAGACAAAATTTTTGTGTCATAAACATTACATCAATATTAACATGTATATGTACATGACAAATAATACAAGTAATACAGAATTTATGACAGAAGTAGAATGTTAATATAATTGCCCTTTTACAATGTCCAACCTGACCGTATTTTTACATGTATACTGCCATGAGTCTATCTCACCTTGGGCAATAAAAAAGGAGAAGTGGGGACAGAAAGGATGCCAGAGGAGACCAGGACCAAGTTGGAGGGGTAAGAAGCAGGCAGAGGGAGACATAAGCATGACTCATGTGGAATGAGTGTCTCCGAGATGTTCTGGGGCAGGGATGATTATGGTAGAGGGAATGGAGGTGGAAGAAGGAAAACAGGAGCAGAAAGAGAAAGAGGAATGAGAGGACAAGGCATTGAATGGGGCTAATTAAGCCTGTAAAGTTTAGTATCCAGAGGATCACAACCAAAACCAGGAAGAAATGCAACGAAGATATAGGTTTGTTGTCCTAAGAAGCTCCTCAATTCCAAAATTACAACAGACTTAGTTGTAGATCTAATTGGATTTTATTCACAATTTATAAATCAGAGAATCCTCCACTTTACAAAATAAGGTGAGAGCTTCCACTGGAAAATAGCAGAAGAGTGCATTTTGTAAGGTGGAAACGAAGAAATAGAACAATAAATAGACTGTTGGCTAACATCAGGTTAGTTCAGGTTACTTTCATATATGGGTTAAAGCAGAGGAAACTTCCTCATGATTCTAACTCAAGTCAACTGTGTGAAAGTTGTCAGAATCAAAACGGAGTCCCTCAAGACTACCCTAACAAAAAAGGAATAAGTCTTAGAGTTTATGAAGGAAGGGTAATTGTGCATATTTGACTGTCAGACCATAACCTTACACAAAGGCCACCACAACAAGTACTTATATAACAACTACTTCTGCAAGGAAATCTACCCAGCTGCTCTCTGTTCAACCTCAAATTCCCACGATCCTTGCTATTAATCTTCATATCCAAGGATTATTGTTACAAAATATCTTGTGTAATCATCCTAAATTTGCCTTTAAAAACTTCCTCTTGCCTCAACTTCTTTGAGCATGTTGATAAATTATGAATAGCATTCCCATTGCAATGCTATTCTCTTCAAATAAATATCATTTTCCATCGGATAATCTCTCTCTGGTTGTTATTAAGGTTGGCATATCTGGTCTTGTCTGAAGCAAGACCACCTTCAGAGGAAATTGTAGCCTCCTAGAACTGAGTATGGTTCTGACACTGAGCCCTTTGTGTTCTTCATCTCCATGGGTTCCCTTTTCTGCTCTGGCGAGTCCATCTTTTTTTAGTAGAAATTCCCTAGAGACTTTATTTGGGATCTGATTTGGATAAGGCCACCTTAAGAAAGGATGTTGCATCCTTTTGAAGACTAAAATGATTTTTTTTCTAGTGAGCCCTTTCTATATAACAATATCCTTCTGATTTGAGTACTCTGGTTTCTACAGAATTTAAGTTGCTTATGAAGATTTCATCTTCTGGTGAGTTCTCTTTGGTTCTGCACACATAGTTATGTATTTTGTTTTATCTGCATCCTAAATTTAAAATTTCTTGTGAATATATTTTGTTTTGTTTCATTTTTATTTGGCTATAAATCTTTAATGATATGGATTTTTGACACTTTTTTCTCCCCATTTTGTTTCAAAAATCTTCTCAGACCAAAATTAAACATTCTAAATGGTAGAGATGGGACGACCAATTAAAATTTGCAAGTCTAGCTGCCACCATCTAACAGATTTTCATCTCTGAGAATAGTCTCCATGTGAAGATTGGCTAGTCATAGACAGGAACGATTACCACTAGGAAGGAGACTACCAGGCACATGACAATATCCGTTCGACTAGGGAAACCTTGGTCACAGGTCAGACAAACTAGGATAAAGGCTGTTCACAAAGTGAAAAAAAGAAAAAGAAAAAACAATCCTGTGCCACATACACGTGTCAAACCAAAATACTTTACCCACACTCTTAATATTCCCTGACATGGCTGATTGGATTTTCTTTGCTCTCATGCAATTAATAAGAAACAAATGGTATCCCAAAATTCTAAAGTGCAACAAAAGATGTCCTTATTCATATACTACAACCTGGACTACAGTATAGTCCATTCTCAAGCATGTTCTTACCTCTCCTTCCTCTGTCTTCTTTTTCTCTTTTAATCTCTCTGTGTACCTTTTTTCCCCCTATTTTAAATCTGGCTTTTTTGCTTATATTAAGATAAAGACAAATTGAAATGAAAACAAGATAAAGCCTGATTAAAAGTTTTTCTTTGGGCATTTGAGCCAAATTTCTAAATAAGAAAAAAAAAAAGCCTTTTGCTGAGAAAAAGCTTTTTAGTTTGAAACCATCCCATTTATTGATTCTTGATATTAATTCTTGTGCTATAGAAGTCTTATTGAGGAAGATGGGGCTTAATCTCACATGATGGAGATTTGGGCCTACTTTTTCTTCTAATAGATACAGTGTCTCTGGTTTAAGTCCTAGGTTCTTGATCCACTTTGAATTGAATTTTGTGCATGGTGAGAGACAGGGATTCAATTTCATTTTGTTGCATATGGATTTCCAATATGCCCAGCACAATTTGTTGAAGAGGCTCTTCAACATTGGAGAATGCATGTTATTGGTGCATTTGACAAATATAAGATAATTGTAACTATGTGGGTTAGTTTCTGTGTCCTCTATTCTGTACCATTGGTCTACACATCTATTTTGTTGCCAAACCATGCTGTTTTGTTACTAGTGTCTGTAGTATAGTTTGAGGTCTGGTATAGTGATCCCACCTTCTTCACTCTTCTTGCTAAGTGTTTCTTTAGCTATTCTGGGTCTCTTATTTTTCCAGATGAATTTCATGATTGCTTTTTCTATTTCTATGAGAAATGCCATTGGGATTTTGATTGGAATTGCATTACATCTATATAGTGCTTTAGGTAGTATGGTCATTTTGATAATATTAATTCTGCCTATCCAAGAACAATGTAGATCTTTCCATCTTCTAAGGTCTTCTTTAATTTCCTATTTTAGTGTTCTGTAGTTTTCATTGTATAGATTTTATTTTTACTTCTTTCATTAAGTTGATTCCCAAGTATTTTATTTTTATTTTTTTTTTGAGGCTATTGTAAATGAGGTAGTTTTTCCCATTTCCCTTTCAGAGGATTTGTCACTGATATACAGAAATGCCTTTGATTTGTGGATGTTGATTTTATATCCTGCTACTTTGCTGAATTCATTTACTAGTTCCAGAAGTGTTCTGGTGGAGCTTTTTTGGGTCTTATAGGTATAGAATCATATTGTCAGCAAATGGTGCTAATTTGAGTTTTTCTTTTCCTATGCATATCCCTTTAATTTCTTTCATCTCTCTAATTGCTCTGGCCAGTGTTCAAGAACTATGTTAAATAGAAGTGGTGAAAGAGGGAACCCCTGTCTTGTTCCAGTTTTTAGAGGGAATGCTTTCAATTTTTCTCCATTTAGAATGATGTTGGCCTGAGGCTTAGCATAGATAGCTTTTACAATGTTGAGATATGTTCCTGTTATCCCTAATTTTTCTAGTGTTTTGAACATGAAGGGATGCTGTATTTTGTCAAATGCTTTTTCTACATCTATTGAGATGATCATATGATTCTCATATTTGAGTCTATTGATGTGATGAATTACATTTATTGATTTCTGTGTGTTGAACCAACCTTGCATCCCTGGAAAGAACCCAACTTGATCATGATGTGTTATTTTTTGGATATGTTTTTGTATTCTATTTTCCAGAACTTTATTGAGAATTTTTGCATCTATGTTCATTAGAAATATTTGTCTGAAGTTTTCTTTTTTTGTGATGTGTCTTTGCCTGGTTTTGGAATCAGGGTGATATTGGCCTCATAGAATGAGTTTGGAGGTGCTCCCTCTTTTTCTTTTCTGAAATAAATTGAAGAGTATTGGTATTAGTTCTTCTTTAAGGTCTTATAGAACTCTACTGTGTATTCATCTGGTCCTGGGCTTTTCTTGGCTGGTAGGCTTCTGATGGCCTCTTCTATTTCTTCACTTGAAATTGATCTGTTTAAATTGTGTATATCATCCTGATTCAATTTGAGCAAATTATATGACTCTAGAAATTTGCCAATGCCTTCAATATTGTCTATTTTATTGGAGTACAAGTTTTCAAGATAATTTCTAATTATCTTTTGTATTTCTGTAGTGTCTGTTGCAAAATTTCCTTAAGCTTCTTGTCAGCAAAAGAAACAATCAGTGAGGTGAATAGAGAGCCTACTAATTGGAAACAAATTCTTACCACACACACGTCAGATAGAGCACTAATCTTTAGGATATATAAAGAACTCAAAAATCTTAACACCAAAAAATCAAATAACCCAATAAATAAATAGGCCAAGGACCTGAACAGACACTTCTTAGAAGAGGATATACAATCAATCAACAAATATATGAAAAAAATATTCAACATCTCTAGCAATTATAGAAATGTAAATAAAAACTACTCTAAGATTTCATCTCACTCCAGTCAGAATGGCAGCTATTAAGAACACAAACAACAATAAGTGTTGGCAAGGATGTGGGGAGAAAGGCAAATTCATACATTGCTGGTAGGATGCAGATTGGTGCAGCCAATATGGAAAGCAGTATGGAGATTCCTTGGAAAACTGGGAATGAAACCACCATTTGTTCCAGCTATCCCTCTCCTCGGTCTATACCCAAAGGACTTCAAAATGGCATACTACAGGGACCCAGCCACATCAATGTTTATAGCAACACAATTCACAATATCTTAAACTGTGGAACCAACCTAGATGCCCTTCAGTAGATGAATGGATAAAGAAAGTGTGATATATATACACAATGGAATATTATTCCACATTAAAAGAGATTGGCATTTTCAGGTAAATGGATGAAGCTGGAGAATATAATGCCAATTCCTCAAAAACCAAATGCCAGATGATTTCTCTGATCCATAATATACTGGGGGAGGGGGAGATTAAATGAAGTCTAGATAGGGCAAAGGGGAAAAGGAGAGAGAGAGAAAGGGAGGAGACATGGGGGGAGAAAGATAGTGGAATGCAATAGTCATCATTACCCTATACATGTAAGAAGACATGAAGGATAAGACTCTACTTTGTGTACAACCAGATATATGAAAAATTGTGCCCTATATGTGTAATATGAATTGTAATACATTCTGTTGTCCTATATAATAAATCAAAAATTAAAAAAAGATGTCAAGACTGCCCAAAGTAACCTACACATTCAATGTAATCTCTTTCAAAATCCCAATGATTATTTTTAGATATACAAAAAGAAAATCCTAACATTCATACAGAATCTTAAAACACCATGAATAGCCAAAACAATCTTGAAAAAGAATAAAGCTAAAATAAAATAAAGAAAAGAAAAAAAAACTTTCAAATTAATGGTTTTGCAATTTGGAGCAACTCTATGGTAAACTAGACACCTAAGAATCATCCGTTTCCAATGAAAATTTGTTTGTTGGCCAACAAAAAATTAGGGTGACAAAACAGCTCTGTTTTTTTTTTTTTAACTAACCTTATACCTTCATCAACATCTTGATCCCAGAACAATAACAAGCTAGACTGGGGGTGTATCTCAGTGTTAGTGTTTGCCTAGGATGCATGAAGCCCTAGATTTGATAACTAGCATGACACAACAAACAAGCAAACAAAGGATCTCTATGTCCCACATAAAAATTGTTATGCCAGTCATGTGGAACAGAAATCAAAAATTTAAAAAGAATGCGAATAATTTTTTAAATTATTTCTAAAAATGTTTCCCAAGTGAATTAATTAATCAACCAAACCAGACTGGCAAACAAAAAAAGTTTTTCTAAATTCAAGATCGTTGGAATTTAGAAATTTAGAAATTCAGTGCTAGCTAAATTGTAAATATCTAACAAGTACTCCTAAATATAGTTATGTGGTAACTTTAAGATCAATTAACTAAAATAAAATTTCCAGAACTCAAATAAAGAAATTGATAGGTTCAAAAAACTGCTAGGGAAGATCAAAGAGAACAAGAATTTATTACATGAGAACAAAGAAACTAATAAAATGTATGGGTTTTGTGACTTTTATTTAAAACATTGTTGATTCTTTACATAACATTTTTGTTGACTAGATTTAAGGAAAAAAAACCTTTTCTTTGCGTGATCTATATTTTGCATCAATTTGGTAAGTTATATTTTTCTTTTTTTTTGAGAGAGAAAGAGAGATTTTTTGATATTTATTTTTCAGTTTTCAGTGGACACAACATCTTCATTTTTTTATTTTATGTGGTGCTGAGGATCGAACCCAGCGCCCTGGGCATGCCAGGCAAGCTGGTTACCGCTTGAGCCACATCCCCAGCCCTAAGTTATATTTTTCTAAACAAAGGTGGAAATATTTACTTCTTTTCTTCCCTATTTGATTCTTCCCAAATTCAGAAGCTGTGTTTATTTTTTATAGAAATAAGTCAATTTTTATAAGTTCAATAAGAATCTGTTCTCTTTATAACAAAATATATATGGAAACATTGGAATGTTCAAAACTATACACAGAATGCCTGACTTCAGAGGTTCCTAAACCTATGGGTGAATAAAACTGTCACTTTCTAGTAGACTCAGGAACCTCATGAGGTTAGGTACTTCAGGTGAAATCTAAAACCTTGGTTTGGGATTCTAGACTTGAGAGGTTTCTAAATCTGAGATTAATACATAGTAGGTAAATTTCATGCTGTTTTTATATTATTGAAACCATATCTGATAAAACTAAATTTGTTTAATAAACACATTGGTTTTTCTTTGATTATCTTTGGTGAAAAATGGTATGACTACAGAAAGAAAAATATGTTTCTACAGAAAAATTATAGCACACATGTTTTATATTGTAGCTCTCTTTGGTTTGGGGTTTTTATTTTCTTTTTTTTTTAAATCTACCTACAGATTGAACTAGATCCTAAATTCATCTAGTTTTCTCCAATCAAATTTTCTCCCATGAAATTACTAATAGAAATTGCTTTTTTCTAGATCCCTACAAACTGAAGCTGGAAATTTGAATATAAATTTCAAGAGACAAACCTCATGACTGATGTGTGGACTGCATAGAAATTTCACCAAACTTCTCAGTGCCATAACCAGAAATATTCAAACCACACACAGGCTGAGAAAATAATGTCAGAATAAGATTCTATATACTAATGAGACTCTTACCCTATTGATTGTCCCTCATTTATGCCTACCTTTCACTTGGCAGAACAATCATGTAGTTAAGATTTTACAATTAATATCTATTGTGACTAGCTATTGACAGATTCTAATCTAAGAAATCTTTTGGTACACATGGTAACTTTGTCAGAATCCCTAATTTGATCAAATTATACTAATGGTCCCTTTTTTGCAAAATTATTTAAATAATGCAATCATGGAATATCAAATTGCAGCATTACTCTAGATGGTTTATTGGTTAAATAAGAAAAAATTTCTGTTATTGCTAATACTGTTTCTGAGGTTACTGGACCCAATTGCTTGCAGTAAGAGAACAGGCTCAATTACTGCAAAATGTCTCACCCAGCTCCATTTGGTCATTTGATTATTCAGTTGCTTACCGTTGAGACTAGATTCTTGGTTCAAAATTGTTATGCAAATGAAATTTGTTATGCTCTTGTTGGCTTGCCTTTTTATTTTCCTTTTTAATTTTTATACTTGTTTCCTGCCACTTTTCTGCAGAAATATAATTCCTTAAAAAATAATGTGTACCTGGTGCTTCAAGATGATAGACATTATCTACAGAACAGATACAAATGAACTTAACAATGGACTCCAGGTAAACTTAGTCTGAGAACCACTTCTTCCAAACCACCTTGTAGCTCAAATGTGGCTAAAAGGGTTTACCACTGAATACTAGTCATTAATCATGTCTTCCAATGTGAGATGAGACCATACCAACAACCAGGACAGGTCTATCCTGCCAACAAGGGATAATCAAAATCTAACTACAGGCTGATTTATCAATAGGGTTACAGGAAAAAGATCTTGATTGAAAAGGGAAAATGCAAAAGTTGTCATAATCAAAATGGAATTGCTTGTTCAATCTTAACAAAAAATAAAAATGATAAGTTATGAAGGAACAGTTCTACACATGATTGATCACACTAAATAATAATTGTAATTATTTCTAATCTTGCACCCATTAGGGTTGTTCTTAAAAGATGGTTTTGATGATCTACTTATTATTCAACTTATCATTTTTTTGTATAAAACATTTTAATGACTTTTCAGGACAGTATAGATGTCATTTACCATCACTGGAACAAGTTCTTCACATATACTTTATAACTCTATGCCAGCCTTCTTTGTTTCAGCTAATGCTAATGACACACATTCCCAGATGATGCTACATATGCCAGCAGAGTGTCAGCTTCTCTCAGAGATTTAGTCAGTTGCTCCAAACATTACGCACTCTGCTTCCACTCTTGAAAGAAATTCATCTTGGTGTTAATTCCAAAATTGGATTTTGATAATTTTTTTATACCTTTATTTTATTTATTTTTATATGGAGCTGAGGATTGAACCCAGGGCCTCACATGTGCTAGGCGAGCGCTCTAACACTGAGCCACAACCCCAGCCATGGATTTTAATAATTTTTTTGGAACAAATCATCCGAGTTTTCCCATATATAGAAGTCATAATGCAACTAATAGACCTAAGAATAAATTTAAAAGATTTCATAAATACCAAATATTGTAAAGCTATTTCAAGCAACATGTGGTTTCTTCTCCATTTGATTATATACTTTATTAAATTTTAAATTGGACTTTTAATTAGAGAATATAAGATTCAAATCAAGTTTCATTGTCTGTTGTACAGAAAATTGCAAAGACATGCAACTTGACTGCACAATCTAACATGAATTCTCCATTAACAGAATTCATCCTGAATCATTTTTACATTTCAAAAATAAAATATCATTTTACTTTCCATGGAATGATAGAATGTAACTAATTTATTGAAATTTTGTTGGTTCATATTTATTTGGCTCATAAATATTATTTTGTCTCACAAATCCTCTTAAATAAATGTAAATGTTGAAAAGTTTAAAATTCTATTAGCACAATTTTTTTGCAATCTTTTTCAACTTAAATTTAAATGGAATTTGAGAACTTGTAGATAGAACTTTAACTAGAAACGCAAAACCATAGCATTCTACCTTGATTTTGAACAAGTAGGTAAAGAATGCCAAAATAAAAATTAGCTTACCTTAAGTAGTAAATTCAGATTACTACTAAACCAAAACCTTAGTGTACAAAGATTATTAATGACCTTTAAGGTGGAATAGTGCTTGAGTATCAGAAATATTTAAGGGAATTTTTTAGATTCACTGATTTTAATCATTTTCAAAGGAAAATTAACTTTATACCTTAAAGTGAATTTAGATTACATACAGTTATATTACAATCATAAATGCCTATTTTCTAAAGTTTAGACTAATCATGTGATAAAATATTCATTTTATATCTAGTAGATCCACTTAACTGCTGAAACTTCTAACAATTATTTTTTCAATAAATTTCCAGCAATATTATTGTGAAGATTATCATACTTTATATATTATATTTGTGTTGAAAGAAAATAAGGCTAAAAAATGTGTATAGCTGAATTATTTATGCTATGTTGCTAAGAATTTATATCTTTTGTTTTATACAATAGAAAAATAAGTATAGAAAATATTCATAGAAATATGGTGAACATAACCAAGATTTTATAAGTACTTTGTCATGTCTAGAAATTGAAATAATTCTTTATAATTTTGGATGGGCACATTTCTGAACATTTGCCAAATATAATATAGCCATCTAGAACAGTGATTTGATTTAGTATATTCTTAAATTCTTCTGCATGTCTAACTGAAAATTTGGGGGAAAATAATTTTTCATTTGTTTAAACTTTTTATTGATTTATTTTGAATTTAATAGAATATACTTAGTTGATAATGTTTAATGTAAGCGTCAGAATATGATATGCTTATTACTCAACTATTAAAGCCATGACGTTTTTTTTCCTGTTTTATTTGTAGAAAAAAAAAGTCTCTCAATTTGTCTATTTTTTAAAATTTGTTCTTTTTAGACATACATGACAATAGAGTGTATTTTGGAATATTATACATACATGGAGTATAACTTCCCATTCTTGTGGTGGTACATGATGTTGAGTTACACTGATTGTGTATTCATATATAAACACAGGAAAGTTATGTCCAATTGAAGCTATGAATTTTTCTCAATACTCTGCCTATTTTCAGGCATTCCCTTACTTTTTTTTTAATTAATAGAATTTATTTTCAGAGCAATCTGTAGATCAAAAAGCAAAAAATACACTTTTCATATATTTTTTTCCTCTTCTCCCCTCACCTCCCCCTCCAATTTGTCTTATTAATTTCTAACATTAATGTAAGACACATTGTAATGATACATTTGTTGCAGTTGATTAGCCACATACTGATACATTATATTAACTAAATCCATTAACTCTAGTCCATAAATCAGAGTTCTCTATGTTTTATAGTTCTAGGGTTTTGACAAATTCATAATAACACATATTCATCATCATCATCACAACACATACAAAATAATTTTACTGTCCTACAAATCCTGTGCTCCCAAATAGCTCCTCTTTCCCTCCCAATCCCTCGAAACCACTAATCATTTTATGGTATCTATAATTTTCTTTTCCAGAATGTCATCTAGTTGGAATCATATAGTGTGTAGCCTTTTCAGACAGTCTTCCTTCACTTTGCATTATATATTTAAGATTCTTTCCTATCTTTTTATGTTTTGATAGCTCATTTGTTTTTATTGCTGAGTAATAATCTATTCTATGAATATACTAGAGTTTGTCCATTCTCCTATTAAAAAATACCTTGATTGTTTCCAGCTTTTAGAAATTATGAACAACTGCTCTAAGCATTCATGTACATATTTTTCTAGGAATATAACTTTTCAACTCTTTTGAAGTAAATACCAAGGAGCTCATCACTAAATCAGACGGTATTAATATGTTCAGTTTTGTAAAAAACTGCCAAACTGTCTTCTAAAGTGGCTCTTGAAATGAATGAGAGTTCCTATTACTCCACAACCTCACAAGAATTTGGGGTTGTCCGTGTTCTGGATTTTAGCTATTCTGATAGGAATGTAGTGGTATGTATGTGTTTTAATTTGCAATTCTCTGATGACACATAATGTCATTTAGGGATATAACCCATTTTGAGTGAATTTTTGTGAAAAGTATAAAATCTCAATCTAGATTTTTACTTGATATCCAGTTGTTCCAGTACCAATTATTTAGCATCTTTTCATATGTTTATTTGCTATCTATACATCTTTTTCAGGGAAGCATCTATTCAGATCTTTAGTCCACTTTTTAATTTAGTTGCTTATTCACTTTTAAGAATTCATTGTGTGCTGGGATTGTGGCTCAGCGGTAGAACGCTCGCCTAGCACAAGTGGGACCGGGTTCGATCCTCAGCACCACATAAAAATAAAGGCATTGTGTTGTGTCCATCTACACCTAAAAATAAATATTTTTAAAAAATAAAATAAATCTGTGTGTATATTGGATAAGAGTCTTTTTAAATCAGATATGCCGTTGCAAATATTTTCTACTAGTCTGTAGCTAGAATTTAATTTTCTATTATTCACAAACAAAAAAAATTGATTTTTTAATTTATTTTTTAAATACACAACAACAGTGGAATGCATTACAATCCTTATTACACATATAGAGCACAATTTTTTGTATCTCTGTATATAAAGTATGTTCATGCCAATTTATGCCATTATACATGTACTCTTTTTTGCATTAAAATTCTTAATACACATATACACCACAATTTTTCATATCTCTGTTTGTATATAAGGTATGTTTTCACCAAATTCAAATCTTCAATGAAAACTACAGAACCCTACAGAGAGAAATCAAAGAAGACCTTAGAAGATGGAAAGATCTACCTTGCTCATGGATAAAAAATTAATTTTAATGATGTCAAATATTATTTTTATTTCATGGATATTGTTTTTCATAAATAAATATTGTTTTTCAACACCTAAATACTCAAAACCAAACTCAAGGTTACCAAATTTTTCTTTTGTTACCTTACAGGATTTTTATAGTTTTGCATTTTACAGTTAGGCATATAATCCATTTTGAGTGAATTTTTGAGAAAAGTATAAAAACCTCAGTCTAAATTTTTTAGTTGATATCCAGTTGTTCCAGTACCAATTGTTTAAAACAATATTCTTACTCTGTTAAATTGCCTTTGCTCCTTCGCAAATGTCAGTTGACTATATTTGTATCTATTTCTGATTCTCAATTTGATTTCAGTGACCTATTTCTTTATTCTTTTGCTAATACCACACTATTCAATTATTACCTTTATAGTAAGTCTTGAAGTCAGATAGTATCAGTCCTCTGGCTTTGCCTTTAATAAATACTTGTTGGCTATTCTGGGTCTTTGCCAGTATCTATATAAACTGAACAATCAATTTGTAAATATCTGCAAAACAATTTCCTGGGATTTTAATTAGTATTATCTTGGATCTATAAATTAAGTTGGGTGAACTAACATATTAACAATATTAAATCTCCCTATTCATAAATATAAAAATCTCTATTCAAATATTTGTAGTTTTTCTCATACACATTTTGTAAATGTTTTGTTAGATTTATTTAGAAGTACTTTTGTTGCATTGTATTTTAAATTTCAAATTCCAATTGTTCATTACTGACATGTAGAAAACAACTGACTTTTATACATTAATCCTCTGTCCTACATTCTAGCTCTAATCACTTAACAATTCCAGAATTACTTTTCTTAATGCTCTGGGATTTTCTAAAAAGACAATTATGTCCTCAATGAAGATATTTGTGTTTTCTGCTGTTGTTCTGGTTCCTTCTCAATCAATAACCTATATTTTATCTTTTATTTTTTCCCCCAGGGATTGAATCCAGGGGTGCTTAACCACTGAGCCACATCCCGAGCCCTTTTTTTAATTTTTTATTTTGAGGCAGGGTCTTACTAATTGGCTTAGGTCCTCACTAAGTTGTTGAGGTTGGCCTCAAACTTGCAATCCTCCTGCCTCAGCCTCCCAAGCTGCTGGGATTACAGGCATGCACCACCATGCCCGGCTAGGGGTGTGTGTCTGTGTGTGTGTGTGTGTGGGGGGGTGTCTGTGTGAGCATATTATGCTTTGTTATATTATGTATAATATGGATATATATTATGCTTTTTATCAAGTTAAGCAAGTTCCCTTCTATTCCTAGTTTTTATCATGAAAATGCATTGGATTTTGTCAAATACTTCCATGTTTACTGATGATGAACATGTGTTTTTTCGTCTATTGACATGCTGGATTACCTTAATTGATTTTCAAATTTTGATCTAGACTTGAATACCTGGGATACATCTCACTTGGTCATCATATATACCTTTTTAATTTTCACTTTGTTGGTTCAAGTTACTAATATTTTGTGGAGAACTTTGCATCTATATCCATGAGACATATTGGTCTATGGTTTTCTTGTAATGTGTTCATTTTCAGCATTTGTGTAATTTTGCCCCCCCCCCAAAATAAGTTAGGAAGTGTTTCCTCTGCTTCTATTTTCTGGAAGACATTGTGGAAAACTGGTAGAATTTCTTAAATGATTGGTTGAAGTTGCCCATGAAACAATCTGTACTTCCTGCTTTCATTTCTGGAAAGTTTCTAATTAGTGATTTGTCATTTTAAATAGAGATATCCCTTTTCAAGTTCTCTCTTTAATCTTGGATGAGTTTTTTGTAGATTGTGTCCTTCATAAAATTGACTCATTTAATCTAGATCATCAAATTTATAAGCAACAAATTGTTCAGAATATTCCATTACTATCCTTTAGATTTCACTTAAATGTCTGGCTCCACTTCCATTGATGATATTAGTCATTTGTGTCTTTATTCTTTTTCTTGGTTAGACAGACTAAAGATTTATCAGCTTGGGTTTGGGGTGTAACCCAGTGGCAGAGTACTTGCCTACCATGCATGATGCTGTGAGTTCAGCACTACAAAAAAAAATCAATTTTATTGGGTTTTATTTAGACTTTATGTACCTTGTGTGGTTTCCATTCTATTTGTTATTTTGTATTTGTTGAGATTTGTTTTATGGTATAAAATGTTATTTACTTTGATGAATACTCCATGTGAACTTGAGAAGAATATGTAATTTCCTATTGATGGATACTCTGTAGATATCAGATTCATTAGATTGATGGTGCTGTCAAGATTTATTATATCTTTACTGGTTTAATGCTGCTGAATCTTTCCATTTCTGGTGGAGGGGTGTTAAATTCTTCAACTACTATAGTAGATTCTTACTATAATAGTGATATTTCTACTAAAATGGTGATTCCAACTATTATAATGATATCAGTTTTTGTTACATGTTTGTAAGCTTTGTTGCGATTCACATTCATTCACATTAAAGATTGTCATGTCTTTTTGGTGGGTTGACCATTTATTATATAGTAGCCCGATTTAGCAATGATAACTTTCCTTCTTCTGAAATCTCTTTATTCAGGTGGTATCATTATCCACATTTTGCAGATGAGAAAAAAAAAAGCCTCAAAAAGGTGCAGGTGTCTGTTCAAGACTTATTCATCCCTGCTTATTCTCCTTTTAAAGGACTAAATGGGGTGCCAAGTGTGAGCACTTTATAAGCTCTGAGAGTCGAAGATGCCATCACTTGCCGGGTTTCTGTTCTCACGACTAAAAGGCTCAGGGGTCACTCCAGTTGAACTGGGCTAACTGGGCTGCACAAAATAACCACACAAGAGACACAAATACCTTTTTTCTTTGGGGTCGCTGTGATGGCTCCTCTGACCTTAAGGGTCTGCAGAAAAAGAGAGAGCGAGAGCACTGCTGACCCCTTTTATTGAGGGAAGCTATTCAAATGAGGCAAGGGTTGAGGTTTCAGGGGCTGAGTATCTTCATGATGTCCCCTGTCAGCAGGTTGACTGACACCTGGGTAGGCCACACCCAAGGGCACAGTAAGAGAAGGGGACACACACAAATTACTTCCATGGAAGATTCTATCCTAAACAGGGCAAGGGGTTATATTACAAAGGAACAGGTGAGCGTAGCTTCACCCATGGGGCTGTAGCAAGACACACCCAGGCACGAGACACAGACCACATTTCTGTGACTGAGCGCCTCAGCACCCAGCCGGGGAGTGTGACCCAGTCGTGTGTAAAGTTGGTCTCCCACAATCACTGCTGGTATTCTGCTGTAACCCATGTCTCTCTTCCTCAGCTGGTGCAAAGTGAGGCCGAGTTCTTTCACTCATCCAACAGTCAGACAGGGATCTCAGGTTTCACTAGGCCCCTTCTCAGGCTCTTTCTACAGCTCCATTTTCTCTCTTCTGGCTTCGAGATCTGAACCTCAACTGATCTGGGTCCCTCCTTCACCCTGTGTCATTCCACAGTGCATTTCTTCAGGCTGCCCGCCCTTCGTATTACATATATGTGCCTTAAGTTTGAACATAATCCTCTCCAACTTCTCAAATCAGATCCAGGGCCAAATAGCCTGAAGTTGGGGGCTGAGGGTCACTTGCTCCACAGCAGCTTGTCCTCAGGCAAGGGCCGGCTGACTGCTCTACCTTCCACCAGGCTGGGTTCCCTCAGAGTACAGAAGCCCTCCAGTCCCTGAACCCCGGAATAGGTCCTGTTTGGTCTCCCAGCATATTTGAAAGCAGGATGCCCATGTCCTTCAGAGGACACCTGGGCCCCACCAACAGGTGTAGCCACAGGCAGGGTCCCATAGTGAGCAACACATGTCCCAAGGTCAGTTATTCCTTCTTAGCACTTCATATTTAGGAAGAAAATTTACTTTTTTTAAGGTCACATTCTGGTTTAAAAGATACCTAATTCACATAGCTAAATTTACCACCCCTGTCTGCAGCAACTGCATTTACATTTATGATGACTTATGTTTCCTCCAAAAGCAACAGATGGGTGATCTGAGTATTTCCCCCCCTTTTTTTTTCCTTGGCAAGATTAGGGATTCTCCCAAAACAAAGTCTGTGGCGAAGTGGTCAATGTCTCTATGTCCAGCTGCAGGGAAATGCCAATTCCCTACCAAAAGCAGACTGTCTCAGGTAGCTCCTCACAGGTGTCAATGAGGGAGCACACCAGATGTTGCTCAGATGTTGCCTCTGGCTACACATGACTACTTGATAGGTAGCCTTGGGGACACAGCGAACACTTCTTGTTAATGCAGAAGATGACTGTCCTAACATCAAAGCCAGAAGATGAGACCCAGGAGCAGCAGACTGCCCCCTTGGTGGCCTGTACCTAACCACACCTGTGTAGGGCTCAGTGCAGCCCCTCTCTCTGGAGTCACCTGGTACTCTCCCAAGTGCCCTCAAGACCCATGGGTCTCTGAGACTGAAATTCCCATTCCCACATCAGGAAACAAGACTCTACAAGAGCCTTGAATAGGTTATTTTTATTTGTTGCTTTCTATATTTGTCTGTGAAACAGCTCTAAACTTCCTGCTAGGAGAAAAAATAGAAAGTGCCGAGGCCCAGTGTTGAGATCTGCTGAGCAGCAGGTTCCCTGTGGCTGGCACTCACATCATGCCATCCTGTCCCTATGGCACCAGAGCCCTAATGCGTCTGTTCTCCCCACTTCCACCAAAAGATCTAATAGCCCATTAGGGTCTGGACGATTCACTGTCCAGAGCCTTCTGATGTCTCCTGCCCTCTGTGTCAGATGCCAACTTCTGGCATTGGCTTCCAAGGTCCCTGTCCCTTTCATCTGCCCTCACAAACCCCTCGGTGTCTTGTTCCTTCCTCTCTGCCTCTGGCTACCCACCCTTACTTACTTCATGGCAGATCCCTAAGTGGTCTTCTTTATTTCTCATCTCCTCCCCAAGATGTTTTCCTGTGTGTGAACCTAGCAGATGGTCCATAATTAAACTGTCTGGACTCACCCCTCCCGGCTAACTACATCTCAAGACACATCCTTCAAAAACTTTATCTAATCTGTTTTCGCACCTATAAAATGGGGGTGATATGTAATAGTGGCGTTATGTGTCAAGTTAACAGGGTGTCAGGCCTAGAGTACATTTAATTCTTATTAATGAACTTCGGCTGCTGGTACAGCCCTGGAGCCCTATATTCCTTTCTCTATATCCATGCCCTTCCAGTCTGTAAATTTGTATAATTTCTGTTCTTAAAATGTGAGAAACGCATTTAAAGCAATGACATTTTCATGAGTCAGGTTGAGTTATTTATCCATGCACTAGTAAGAAACATTTCTGAAGCCCCACAATGGGCTACTATGTGCAGTCACAGACAGTCTGATATTGGCAGTTGTGGACAAGGCCCTGTAGGGGTCCAAATAGAGAAGTCAGTCCTGTTGGGGACCCAGATTTCATAAAAGGCTTCTTAAGATTCTTGAGCTGAATTTTTAAGGGGTTTGAATTGGCAGATAGGAGTTAGGAAATAAGAAACATGTTTGAGCCTTCCCTTGAAAGGGTCAGAGTGGATTGGAGATGTAGCTCAGGGGTAGAGTGCTTGCCTAACATGTGCAGATCCCTGGACTTGATCCTGAGGATTGACACAAAATAGTCACGAGTTGATGGAACCCAGCCTACAAGTATGGAGGGATTAATTCATTGATTTTTATCATTGTGCCTAAAGTAGGCAATAAAATGCAGTGAACACAACAAACAACAAATTTATTACTTTTATCACAATTCCAACACAAGAAAATTAAATTAAATTGAAAATAGGTGAATGAAACAGGCATGGGCTTGTGATATCAGCAGCTCAGGAGGCTGAGAAGAGAAGGATTTCAAGTTCAAAGCTAGCCTCAGCAACTTATCAATGCCTTGTCTTAAAATAAAATACAAAAAAATAAAAATAAAAAATAAAGTGGTGTGGATGTGGTTCAGTGGGTGAGCACCACCAGTACCAAAAAAAGAAAAAAAGTGAAAGGTGAATGAGAAAAACAAGATAAGAAAAAAGAACAAGAAAAGATACACCAGAAGTAAAACTGGTTCCCAAAATGCCTGCTGGATGTCCTATACACTCGCCAGAGCCCACAAACTGAACTGTGAGCTTTCCAGCAGCCAATTTAAAGATTAGACATCAAGCTGGGAACTCATGGTATCCATACATAAACTCAAAAGAGTGCTCAGAAAATTTGCAATTCCTGGCACTAAGAACAGTAACTTCTTCTTGAAGATACTCAGGAAGAAAAATTACAGAATGAGGTGTGTTTTGTTTAGCTGTTTATCATATAATCAAAATACCTGAGATGAACAACTTAAAGAAGAAAAGTTTATTTTCATTGTTTCAAAGGTTTTATTTCATGACTGGCTGATTCCACTACTAGGGCCTGGGGTGAGGCAGAACTTCATGGCAGAAGGGCTTGATGGAAGAGGTCAGGGAAGAGATAAAGTACCCAAGAGCATGCCCACAGTGGGACCTACTGTCTTCAACCATGCCCCACCTGCCTACAGTTTCCACCATCTTCTAGTGGACCATTCAAATTTTAATCTATCAAATGGACCAGTTCCCTGTCTAGAACCTGCCAAGGCCAGGCAGTTGTACCCTCTCTTTGTCCCTACCAACATTTTCTAGCATATAGACTCTTAAGCCTGTGGAGTAGAAGTAGAGCTCCCAGGTATCCTGCAGTGTCCTTGAACTAGAGAAGTCCCTGGGCCCAGAATATCTTTCTGAAGAATGAATGTCTTCATCAGCTTTGTGTTGCAACAACAGAATACCTAACACTGGGTAATTTATAAAGAATAGAAGTTTATTTGTCTCATAGTTCTAGAGGCTGGGAAGCCCTAAAGTATAGTGCAGAATCTGATGAAGGTCTTCTTACTGCATCATCACATGGCAAAGGGCATCAAATGTTGAAAACAAGGAAATGTGCCTGCTCATGTTTTGTTATGCCAGATTTGTGGACCCCAATAGACCTCCAGGAGCCGAATCCGATGCAAGCACACAAGAGTCTTTATTGCAAGCTCGAACCTGGACTCACAACTTTTCCCGATGCAGTGGTCCCAGGGAGTGAGTCCTGGTCCTTTGTTCAGTGAGATTTTATAGGTTTGTTTTTTTTTTTTTTTTGGGGGGGGGTACTCTATGTGTCACAACATCACACAGCAAATCATTCCATACCACGGGAAAGTCAAACAACAACTCTTAACATTGATTAGCACATTCACTGGCGGGAACAAGTTGGGTAGGGGTGATTGGTTAATACAAGAGGGGGGTTCCTTTGAACTGATTGGTTTAAGCCACGAAGGGGTATACGTGCTAAACGACATGGTTTCCCAACATGTTATCAACCACCGTAAACTACTGGGGGGTCATCTGGCATCCCAGGTATCTTCCCTGTCTCATGCTGATTGGTGGTTGCTAGGGAGTTGCTATGGGTCCTCACCTAGCCTGACTGAGTCAGGGACACCTGGCGCCCCAGATCTCTCCCGTT